AAGGCCAGGCTCAGCCTCAGGCAGCTGGCCTCAATGGTCCTGGCCACACCCTTCCCTACTACATTCACTCTATACTGCTCCAGTGGCTGGCTGTATTTCTTTCATTTTGCTTTTCTGCATTGTAGTCTCTTTCTGTAATTAACATGGCTAAAAAGAAAAAGTAACCTCAAAAGTTGTTTTTAAAAATATAGAGCCTGCTAGACTTTTGAGCTGGATTTAAATCCCAGCTCTGTTATTTAAATGGATTTGTGGCATTGGATAAATCTCAGTCTGTCTCAACAGTAAAATGGTGATAACAATGCCTCCTTTTGAATAACCTTGAGTATTAGGGATATAGAATGTCATCCTTATAAAATAACACTGAGAATCATTAGCTATTTGCTATCATTGGGTCTGTGTACATACCAAAAAATCAGGACTTTTCTGTATTTTGAATTCATGAAAGTTTAGGAATATAAAGTTGTATGAGGTAGAGGTTATATATTGGAAAAGTTGCATGACATTTTTGGCTTATACATGGTTAAGGGCATTATACACCCTTCAAAGTGAAAGAAGTCTCAAGGATAAGTGGGCAAGTGGTACCCTACTTAAGGGTGATGTGGATCCATATGTAATTGAGAGATCTCAAAAGTGACTAATGGTTTTTCCACTATGTACACGATAGTATTGCTCTTTGATGTGTAATCATGGTTCTTTTCTACAACTTTTCAATTTTAGTTTGGCTTTGAAAACTTTAATCAAAACATGCCACCTGATTTCCAATTTCTTCATACCAGATTGGCCTATCTGAAAGTCTTATTTTTCTTTCCTTGCTCCATCTTGTTGAATCAACACTTTATATTCCTTTACCTGTTTTTACCTGGCACTCTCAGCAAATTCCATGTGACCTGGGTGCCTAAAGAGATAGTAAAGAATAGAAATTCATTTGGATTTCCCTCTGTGAAATCCCTCTCTCCTCTTGTATTTGTAACCCTTTCTAATACTAATGCCTATCATACTAGTAGTTTATTAAAAATTCAAAAGCTTGCAAAAATTCTTCCCCAACCTGGTGTTGGGCCTGCAGAAGAAGTCCCAGATGTTTGTCTTCAAAGAGTACATAATTTAGTGAGAATTAAACAACACTAGGGCTTCTACAAGGTTTCCCCTGATACAGCATTTGTCTCCTGGGCCCACACTCTCCAGTGCTGTTGATGCTTGAAGAGCCCTTACACCTAAACTTACTTGTTTGAACTCATTACATGAGTTTTTTTCACCACGAAGGATTGTCTTCAGAGTGGAATTAAAAGCATGCACACCCACCCACCACGTGTGCACACTTATAAACTATCCAACACTGAATAACTGTTAGGAGATTGCTTGTAAACCTTCAGATACTCTGCTGATTCATAAAGTTGGTTATTTGCAAAGTGTTGTCCTCTGTAACTGCTTGTCCTTGGAAACCTGCCTGTCAGGAAGGGGGGACCTCTGAGCATTGTTTGCTACAAACAAATAGCTTCCAACACTTCTGCTAACCCTTTTTGGCAGTAATCCAGGGATTAAGAACCAGCACTGTGATTTGGGGTTTGGTAAGGTGTAGCTAGACCTAAGACAAAACAGGGATTTATTTTCCCAACAGACTGGGTGGTTGAGGTTTATGTCTTATTATAAGGAGGCAATTTCTGCTTACTAACATATTAAAGTGAATGTCCTTAGGTATTTTCTTAGTTTTCCCTTCATCTTTTTTCAGTTAAATAAATATTTAATTAATATCAATTACAATTTCAATCAAGTCACAGTTCTGGATCTCCTTTATACTCATGTTATTTTATTTTAATTTTTCAATTAATTATTAGAATTTGGTAACACAATTTGGTATTATACAATAAGTTGTACAGTGAAAAGTAACTCTTCCCCCTCTTATACCCTAGTCACTTGATCCCTTCAACTGTCCAATTCTCAAATTCTGTACTAGTTTCTTATATATTCTCCCAGAGACAATCTATGCATATATAAACATCTATATGTATAATAATGTTTTTCTCACACAAATAATGCTAGCATACTGTGATAGATTCATTTTGGTGGCCCTTCCAATGAACTACACCTCCCTGTGTTTAAGTCTTTATGTAATTACCTCCATATTGACTGAACTTGGCCAGGTGACTGGATTTGACCAATGGCAAACTAGTAAGAGTGATGCTTGATATGTGCTAGCACATGAGATCTGTTCTCTGGGAATGCTTACTATTGTGACATTCCCTTACAGAACCTACAAACCACCAATTGTGAGGTGTACCCAGCCTAGAGGCTACATGGAAGAGAACTGGGGTTTCTGTGACCAACAGCTTCCAGACAGCAACTGGCATCAACTTGCCAGTCATTGTGATGAATGAACCATCTTGGAAGTGGCACCTCAGCCCGAGCAGTCCATTCCAGAAAATGCTATGTGGCATAGAAAGCGAGCTTTCCATATTGAGCCTTGTCCAAATTGAAAATCTATGTGCATTCATTATAAACCACTAAATTTGGTGTCATGCAGAATAGATAACTGAAGGTACTATGCATTTCTGTGCCTTGCTTTTCACTGAACAATATATTAGATATCAGTCTATTTCAGTATTTACAAAGTTGCTTTAATCTTTTTAAGAGCTGGATAGTATTCCATTGTATAGCTGTGCAATGATCTAATTAATCATCCTCTTATTTATGAATATTTATTTCCAATCCTTTGTTGTATGCTTCCTTTTGCATATAAACATATATATTTACTGGCTAAATTTTTAGATATAGAGTTGCTGGGTCAAAGAATATGTGAATTTGTAATTTTAATACGTATTGCCAAGTTGCCTTCCAGAGAAGTGACATTCCCATTAGTTCTGAGAATCAAAATGAGTGCCAATCTGAATGGTGAAAACTATGCCACAGTGAGGTTGGAATGTTACATTTCTCATTTAATAGTTTTTTATATATTATTAAGCCACTTGTATTTTCTTTTTGATGAACTACCCTATATCTTCTGTTGGGTTGTTAACCTTTTTCTTCTTTGAAGGACCTTTTTATGTGTTAAAGAAATTAGCTCTTAGTTTGCTTAATGTAAAGTCAAGCTTTTCCCCCTCAGTTTCTTTAACCTTTGCCTTGGTTTGAGCAATTTTTTCTCTTATTATAGTTAGATATATCAATCTGTAATTTTATAGCTTCTGGATTTTCTTGTTTTTGTTTTGTCATATTTAGACTTTCCTCACTCTGAGATTATAATAGATATTCCCCCATGTTTTTATCATTCTGCTTTTTATATCTTCCTTTTAAATCTATCTGAAATGTATTTTGATATATACGTTCTAGATTTATATTTTTCCAGATAGATTTCTGAGGTGTGGCTATCCAGTTGTCAGTGAATACTGTTGAGCCATGTCATCCTTATATACTACATTTCCATATTTACACCATATATAATTTCAGTTTATTTACTGAATTCACCAGCTCTACTTGGTTGCTGTCCCTTACTTAATTATTCCCTCTTTTCTATACTATTTTAGAAAATGCTATAGTAAGTATTTTTAAAAACAATTCTTTATAATTATTAATCTCAAACTAGCTTATGATTTCCTTTGTGGATATAAAAATGAACATTTATAGTCGGTTTTAAAAGTTACTTAAACTTTATCTTGTTTAGCTGCTCAAAATCTGAAGTTAGAAAGATTACACATTTTATGGATGGCGATACGGAGATCAATCCATGTAACAGATTCATCTGAAGATAAGTAGGATTGTGTAGGAGCAGAGAGTGACATGCTTTTTTATCATGTACCATGTATAAAGGCCTGTTCCAAAATTTCTGAAATATGTAATAGTACTGGCATAAAAACTGTATCTAATTAAGAGAGTGCTGAGGCTGGGACCTGTGAAAGAAAATCATGTATGTTAATAGAATGGCTGTGGCCTCATCATTATGAGAAGAAATCAGGCAATTATACTTGTACTGTGGTACATTAAGAAAATGGGTCCATTTAATTTGGTGACACACTTGTAATTTTATGTAATGCTACAGTTGTCCTGAACACTAGGGAGGACAGTGACACTCAGCAAAGGCAGAATTGAGAAGTTTCTTGTTAAACTCAACTTCCTGTTCTTCCAGCTTTTCCACTCCTGCCCTTCTTGCCCCAGCTCAGTTCCTCTGACTCATGGAGCACACTTTCAGATCTTTTTCCTCTGGTATATATGGTCTGACCCCATGGGGCCTGGAAGGTCTGCATTTGGAACATGCCGTGAGTTTGACATGCTTGAGTACCCTGTGATTGTTAAGGATAGTTAAGCCCTGCTGAGAGATTAAGACAGACACACCTAGAATGAGATACGGAATTAAGGTGTTACCTAATTTTTGTATTTGCATTGCAGCCAGACCCTTAACTTAGAGCTGAAAGGACCAAGTTGGGTGGTTTCAGGTACTGGGGGAGGGTCTCTTGGGAGATCTGTGGGCTGCTGTGCTTACTGCCTCTGTCACAGGCCTGCATGCTTGTTCTGTGCTTGTAAACTGTGTCATGTAAACTCCTTTCCCATAGACATCTCCACATCTAGGTAAGATAAAACATTTCACTAAGGTAGGCAAGTTGACTTATAGGTTCAGAATCACAGAATGTCAGAAATAAAAGGAACCCGTCTGAACTCTTTCATTTGATAAACACAATTGATCTTTGAACAACACTGATAAGTGGAACTTTGCAGTTCAAATCTGTGTTGTTTAAAGGTCAACTTTTTAGATCTAAGGTTGGGAATTTATGGATGCGGAGGGCCAGGTATTAAGTTTTTGCGGAGTCAAAGTTATATGCAGATTTTTGACGGTAGGAATTGGGTCAACTGTAATGTCTATAGCTTTCTTTCCCTGCATTTTATGCTTGTGTACTCTTGGGATGTTTAGACACCAGTGGCATTGCTTTCCATTTTCTCAGTGACAGACAAGGTGGGATAGTTTAGAAAAAAAAATTTGTTTTAAGAATAAAAAATGTTATTTCTTTTTCTTTTAGATTCTGTCTAAACTTTCTTTGCCTACTCGTGGCTGGGAACCAACAATGAAACAGAGTTTTGCCTTTGACAATGTTGGCTACGAAGGTAGTCTGGACGGTATGTGCCCTTCACAGACAATCAGTGGCACCATCAGCATTTCGGGCAATAGACTTTACACATGACTGGCAAGTCATGTGTAAAGTCTATTGAGGGCAGGATTTCCAGTTTGAAAGGCATTGTGAGTATAAAGGTTTCCCTGGAACAAGGCAACGCAATTGTAAAATATGTGCCATCAGTTTTGAGCCTGCCACAGGTTTGCTGTCAAGTTGAGGACATGGGCTTTGAGGCCAGTATTGCAGAAGGAAAGGCTGACTCCTGGCCTTTAAGGTCCTTGCCAGCCCTGGAGGCTGTAGTCAAGCTTCGAGTAGAGGGCATGACCTGCCAGTCCTGTGTCAGCTCCATAGAAGGCAAGATTGGGAAACTGCAAGGAGTGGTGAGAGTCAGAGTCTCACTCAGCAACCAAGAGGCAGTCATCACTTATCAGCCTTATCTTATTCAACCTCAAGACCTCAGGGACCATGTCAACGACATGGGGTTTGAAGCTGTCATCAAGAACAAAGTGGTTCCTGTAAGCCTGGGACAAATTGATATTGGACGGTTACAGAGTGCTTACTCAAAAACACCTTCTACTTTGAACCAGAATGTCAATAACTCTCAGACCTTGGAGCAGCAAGGGAGCCATGTGGTCACCCTGCAACTGAGCGTAGATGGAATGCACTGTAAGTCTTGTGTCCGGAATATTGAAGAAAATATCAGCAAACTCCCAGGGGTTCAAAATATTCAGGTGTCCTTGGAGAACAGAACTGCCCAAGTACAGTACCATCCTTCTTATGTTTCCCCGGCGGCCCTGCAGAAGGCGATTGAGGCTCTTCCACCAGGGAACTTTAAAGTTTCTCTTCCTGATGGAGCAGAAGGAAGTGGGACAGATAACAGGTCTTCTACACATCACTCCCCTGTCCCTGCTCAGAGAACCCAGGTGCAGGATGCGTGCTGTACCGTGGTGCTTGTTATTGCTGGCATGACCTGTGCATCCTGTGTCCAGTCCATCGAAGGCCTGATCTCCCAAAGGGAAGGTGTGCAGCAAATATCAGTCTCTCTAGCTGATGGGACTGGAACGATTCTCTATGATCCCTCTGTAATTAACCCAGAAGAGCTCCGAGCTGCTGTAGCAGAAATGGGATTTGAGGTTTCCATTGCTTCCGGTACGTAGTTAACCCTGGGGTTGTCTCCTTTCTCTTTGTGTCTTATGGCATCATACCTGCATGTTTGGACAGGTGAGCCACACTCACTGCCTCACATGTGGAACATGGTAACAGAATTCTGAAACTTTCCCTTGTGTGTTAAGTTTTTCAGGCTAGAGGACTTAGAATTTCCAAGTGTTTATTTAGATTTTGCCTCTTGTGTAGCTGGGACTAAAATGCTGAGGTCCTTGGACTCTTGGCTTCTTTTCTGAACAGAACCCTGATTCGTTTTTGTTTGTTTGTTTTGTTTTTTAAATATATTTTTTATTGATTTCAGAGAGGAAGGGAGAGGGAGAGAGAAATAGAAACAACAGTGATGAGAGAGAATCATTGATTAGCTACCTCTTGCATGCCCCCCCCACCGGGGATCGAGCCCACAACCCAGGTGTGTGCCCCCCCAGGTGTGATTGGGAATTGAACCGTGACCTCCTGGTTCAGAAATTGATGCTCAATCACTGAGGCACCTTGTCTTTTAAAAAGAGTACAGTAGGAATATCAGGTCCTTCTCTAACCAAAGAATCATCATCATTCTCCCTGAAGATTTCTCTGCTAAATAGAATAAAATCATAAAAATAATGTAATATTAGGCTCACCACCCAGAGCCCATTCCCTTAAAAGTGGGAAGTAAGGGAAGGACTTAAGGATGATTTCCTTTGCCCCCCACCCTTGATGGCTGTGAGAAGATGGATGGGTGAAATGTTCCACAAGAGCACAAAGGGTCCCCGTACCTTGATGTCAACCTCACTAAACAGAGTTTCCAGGGTTGTGGCCATCCCTGCTCCCCCCTCTTCTCATTGACTGGTCATTTGCCTATTTTTCATTTTCCTTACATAGGAGCCCAGCAAATATAGCATAATTTCTATCGTACGTCAGGACTGTGCGACTGAATGAGTGCCACATGGCTTCTCCTGAGAGCTTATGTTGTAGTGAGAAGGGTTCTGAGAGGAGGGAACCCTTGCAGTGTAACGGGACAAGTCCTGTGCAAGCCCAGGCAAGGGGCACCTGAGCCAAGCTCCCAGCTTAGGCAGGTCTCCTCTGGGAGAGTGAGTAGGAGTGAGCCAGTGAGGGGCAGGGGATTGGGGTGGGGCAGGAGGGGTGGGGAAGTGATCAGGGACGAAGCAGTCTGGATAGTGGTCTGAAGGCCTGAGCAGCAGCACAGTGTGTTGGGGAAGCTGCAGAGGAGAGTGGCCTGAGTGTGAGGACTCACAGAGGGTGGTGGACAGTGGCTGGGCCACCTCAAATAGGCCCTGCATGTCAGGTTGAGTTTAGACTTTATTATAAAGGCAGGGGGAGTCACCAGAAGATTTTGATCAGAGGAAATACAGACCAGATTATGTTTTAGGGGACCAGTCAGTGTTAGGATGCAGTGGGGGTTGAGGCAGTGAGACCCCATAAGAGGCAGGGTGAGAAATGATGTGGGCTAGAGAGCAAGAGATGGATTTGGAAGACACTCAGGTCAGATCTGCCAAGCTTGGTGTCAGATTAAGGGTGTGTGTGATGGGGCCAGGCTAGGGAGGAAAGGGAGAGCCTGGGATGAGCCCCAGCTGAGGTAGATGCTGAAGGGTGGCTGGGCTTATGAGTCCTAAATTTTGGGGAGAGTGGGGCTGGTAAGTCCACATGGTTCACTTCAGTTCATATATGCAGATTTGAGTGATTGGAGCCAGAGATGACAGAGGACCTAGGAAGGAAGACTGAGTGTGAGAAGGGAAGGAGCAGAGGAGGAATGTGATGGCACTGGTGTGGAAGGAATTGGGGGGGTAGGGGGGTGGGAGGTAGTGGCACCTATAAGAGGAAGATCTTGCAGGCAAGTGACATGAGAAGAGGGCAGAGTCCTGGAAATAAAGGAAGAGGGTCCAGAGAGGCTAAGGTTTAACTAAGAGGAGACCATCGGCTGGAGTTGCTCACTGCCTGCATGGTGGTAGGGAGGTGCAGACCTCCAGTAGCTTAGGTCTGGAAGGGACAGAGTGGGGTAGAAGACAGGGAGGGGTGGTTGAGAGAGGCTGAGGATAAGGAGGGAGTGTGGGACATTTTGTGAGGGACAGCTATTGGGTGATAATGTTTTTACTGTTTAGATTTCAAGATACATGCCCTGTATGTCAATGCAAATGCAGGGTGGATGAGAATGTGGACAGTTTCTCAGCTTCTGGATGGAGCTGCATGCTCGTCCCTAAGAAGAACTTGTGGGCAAAGCCCACTGACCATACTCCGGGCCAGCTGCACTTGGTTTCCCACATCCATTTTCTCCATTTTCTGACCATCACTGAGATAAAGAATTTCTCCCTGGAAAGTTTGCTCTGTTGTGATACTTTCCTGCACACACACACCTTTAAAAGGTGTGGATAAGTCAGGTGGAGTGACTTGGCGCCATCTGTACTTTGTCTTGTACCAAGTTTCAGGAAGGAGGTGGGTTTTGTTTATTTATTTAAAATAAAAATAAATAAGGAAAACACAAAAGAACAGTAAATCCTGTACTCAAAAGGTGAGAAATGTAGTATGAAGCCATCATCTGCTATATCTGTGTGAAATTTAAGGTCTTTCAACAGTGGAATCAAATTATTGGCAGTAAAAAGAAATTTGCATTGAACTACATAATCCAGAATATTTGGATTAAATTAAACCTAAAAGAAAAAAAGCCAGTGATTTTTCTTGGCCAGAGTTATAAGAGCTATGTTTATCAGAAGAGGTATTTAGGATATCAGATTTACCAAATAAGAAATATAGAACACCTAGTTAAATTTGAATTTCAGATAAATAACTTTTTTTTTTTTTAGTGTAAGTATGTCCCAAAGGGGACATACTTATACTAAAAGATTATTCATGGTTTTTCTGAAATTCAAATTTAGCTGGACATTCTGTATTTTACCTGTCAATCTTAGTTAAGGATAAACTGTAAGTGTGCTGGGACTACCCCATATAGCCACTTAAATGTTAAAAAGGCATCATTTGTATTTGATTATTCATTCTGGATTGAATAGGAACTCCTTGAGGACAGTCTTCAAACCATGTGATTTGTTTCTTCTTTGACTCAGCAGCACCCAGCACTGAGTAGGTATTTGTGAAGGAAATGAAAGAGAAAGAAAATAATGGGCCATGACCAGCAGGGTCACAGGATAGCTCAATGGAGGGCTTTAATCCAGGGAATTATTTACAGAGATTTTAAGGAAATCTCTTAGGAAGGAAAACCAAACAGAACAGGAAGGAAACCCTAGATTAGCACTAGCAGAAGGCACCACCTCCTGGCAGGTGGGTCTGAGGGAAGAGAGCGTTATAAGACCCCAAGGCTGAGGTTGCCTGGTGGCACCTGGTGCTACTGAAACTAAGAAGGGAAAGGCTATAGTCAGGCCCTGGCCAGTGTTGCTAAGTGGTTAGATTGTCAGCCTGCAAACTGAAGGGTCTCTGGTTTGATAACCGGTCAAGGGCATGTACCTGAGTTGCAGGATCAATCCCCAGCTCCGGTCCAGGCACATGCAGGAGGCAACTAATTGATGTGTCTCTCTCACATCGATGTTTCTCTCTCTCTCCCCATCCCTTCCACTCTCTTTAAAAATCAATGGAAAAAAATATCCTCAAGGTGAGGATTAACAACAAAAAAAGAAAGGCTGGAGCCAGGAGCTGGGGTCGTAATAAACAGATGGAAAACATTTTCATTTTCCTCCCTTTCTGTACTATCATTTCCCACTTTATACCTCCTGTGTGCCAAATTCAATCAGAAACTAGTTGACAAGAAAGCCAGGGTAAGTGGTTTGCAGGGGTCAGAACCCTTGATAATGAAGCGGAAGGCAGGAAGGGAAGGTCTGTGAGAGCACATAGGCAAGTGACAGGCTTTGAATTTCAGCCATTTTATTTTGTTACCAGACTGAAAGGGTCCGTTTGCCTGCACACATCAAAGGCCAATAAGACATGAACAGGAGTTTGCAGCCAAGAAAGTAGGGATTTATTAAGGAGATGGTGCCGTGCCTGGAGTCACAGGTAGCTCGTGCTCAATGACCTGGCTCCCTGATGGCTTCCAGGGGATGGATTATATAGGGGATAGATCATTAGTCATAGTGACTAAAGGAATTAGTGTTGTGGTCTTTACTGATTGGTTAGTGCTAGGGTAATTCATCACTGCATTTGGTCCTAACGTCAGCTATGGAGTTGCTCTGTCCAACTTCGCAAGGATTTGTTCTTTGAGATCTTTCCACTTTCCTGGGTCAGGAACTAAAACACAACTGAGGCCAAGATATTGTCTTTAGTTGGATTGAAGATTCTGTCTCTATAGTCAATAGACCCAGGGCCTTGTTCCTAAGACTCTAGATGCTGACCAGAACCTCATTGTCCTGAGGGCTTAATGATTAAGCAAGGGAGAGGGAGGTGGTTGAGTCAGGGTGCTGGGTGAGGCCAGTTGAGTCAAGGGAAAAGTAGAAATAAAAGTCCAGATTAAAGAAAATAAGGTTTTTGCAGTTACAATTTGACAGCTAAGAATACACTTAGACTTGATTTTTATCTAGAAGGCAGCTCTGCATCTGTTCACTGATTTACATGGTAACTATTTTTTAAATGAATGAATAAATTGATGGACAGGTGGATGGATATATGAATATAGTATGAGGAAAAGTCATCTGTTAGGTATAACATATTCCTCTCACTGTTGTAAATATGTAATGCCACTTTCTGGGCATGGTTCTTTCGTACCAACATGTGCTGAGGATCTTCTGGGTCTCTGGCACTGTGCTGGCTGCCATGAAGTACTCAGAGTCTAGCACCTGCCTGTGTGTGGTTCGTATGGGGTAGCAGATCACAGAGACCCATCATCTAAGGCAGGTTTAGAATAATTGCAACAAGTATGGTGTAGGTAAAGGAGAAAATCCAGCATCTGGTTGTGGGGCTCCCAGAGACTTGATGGTAGAGGTAGTGGTGGAGGGGGGCTTAGATAGGATATCGGAATGGATAGGATCTCATCAGGCACACTGGGCAGAGGAGACACGAGCATAGGCCCACAGGCAGGAGTCCTCCAGGTATGTCTTGAAAGCAGTCTGGCTTAGATGAAGCTTGGGTATAAGGTTGTACAAGTCAGCACCCTGGTCCACACCACCATTATCTGTCTCCCAGATTTTGCAAGAGGCTCTGAACTGGTGCCTCTATTTCCTGATTTTCATCCTTGCAGTGTTTTCCCTGCCCAGCATCCACAGAGATCCTATTATTCTGCTGATGCTCCAAACCCTCCCTTCTCATATTGTAAGAGGAGGAGCCCTTATGGTGATCTAGAAGCCCCCTTCCTCACCCATTACCTTTCTGACCCCTTTGGAGTCCTCATATTTGGCTTATTCTTGCTGTCCTCTCTGTCTGGAATTCTCTTCCCTCAAAGTCCACATGGTTCACTTCAGTTCATATATGGTCTTGTAGACTTTACCCAAGCATATATAACTTATATTTAGAAATATGTAGGTTTGTATTAGACATAGTTTTGTAATATCTTTTTTCTCTGCAATTTATCATAATCATCCTTGTAAGCTCCATTCTTATGTCTGCAACACCACATTTATGGCTGCATAGTGTTCCATCATATGGATGTACTGTAACTAGGTCAGAGTCCTCTTAGACTGTTCCCGCCTATTTTATGTGCAGGTGATTGTAAATAATACTGATGGGCATCTTTGAGGCTAAATCTTTGTATATATACTTTATTAAATATCTGAAAGCATAAATGCTGGGTCACAAGGTATAAACATTATTTAATTCCATCACAAATATTTATTGTGCCTCTACTAAGTACCAAGTAGTTAGAGGGACTGTTCTTAATAATACATATTGCCAAGTAATCATCCAGAAAGCCTATTCAATTGATATGCTCACCCGTGATGTTTACATAGATTAATAAAAGTTCCAGTAGCATAAGCTTGTTTGGGTTTTTGTTAACTTATTTTAACTTTCTTTAGCAAGCTCCAGAAGCCCAGAATTTAGTTGAGTCATACCTCCATGTTGAAGAATAGCAATGTGTAAATTGTAGGTTAGTAAGGGTATGGCGTGCTCTATAATAGCTGAATATTATGGAAATTGTTGACCACAATATTTGGATAGAAAGGGAGGTGAATCCAGAGAACAGCTGATGGACAGGGAAAATAGGGAGAGATTGGACAGGAGGGTCGATGGGTGTGGGAGGTGGAGTATTAAGAGGAGGCCATAGAATAGAATTTGTGAGTTTGAGACTCTAGGGGTAGAGTCATTTTGAACAATGATAAAGTCTAGGAGAGTAAACTGTGCTGGTGGGTGAGGTGATGTCTTTGCAGCAATACGGTAGGGATCCTGGAAGGCCAGAGTACTGAGGGTCTTCCATGAAGGTGCTGAAAGTGTCGACCAACTGGACTCTTAAAGTGAATAGAAATAGTTTGAGCACATTTCAGAAAATGAGCAAAACATTCTAAGATGTGAGATTTATTAAGAAGGGAAACTTAAAATTCATGGTCTATTGTCAATACAGGCTAATGCCAACTTTTGTCTTCTGCAGCAGTGGATTTTCAAATGGGATTTCATCATTAAATGATGTAATTATAATTATCTTTTCTACATCCTCAGCTATTTTGTGTCATCAAAATCATGTGACTTGCTGGATGAAAACGTTCTGTATTGACAAAATCAGTTACATCGGTATATACATTTGTGGAAGAAAGAACAATAATAGCTCCCCGAAATTTTTGTAATTTAGTGGGGGGAAGGATGGTCTTTTCAGTATATGGGACCAGATCAATAGGATATCCTAGTGGAAAGAAATTAACCTTGACTATCACCTCATACATATATAAATGTTAATTTGAAGTATATCATAGGCCTGATTGATTGATAAGTTGGGCTTCATTAAATTAAGGACTTCTTTTATCAAGAGACACCATTAGATGAGAGTGAAAACAAACCATAGACTGAGAGCAGATATATGTAGTTCAATCCACTGACAAAGGATTCCTGTTCAGAATATATAGGACTTCTGCAAACAATAAGAAAAAGACAACTCAGAAAAGGTGTTTTGGATCATTTTGATTCTCATGGGGAGGGAGCAAACCTCCGCTAACTAGAATGTAATAACAGTTAAAGGAACAGAGCCTATAGTTAAACAGACCTGGTTCAAAGCTAGCTTCACTATTACAACCTGAGGGGTTTGGGTCAAATTATTTAATTTCGTGTAACTCATTTCTTCATATAAAATGGGAATAATAGTATTTATCACATAGCTATTTTAAGATTAAAGGAGGTCACACATGTGTTTAGCAGAGTGCCTGGTGAGTTCTTATTGTTATCCTCATCTAATTAAAGCATTCATCTAGCCAGACCATTTCATTCTTCAAGTATCGGCATATTTCATGTGTCTATAATTGTTTGCCTCTCTCTGATTGTGGGAAGAGAGAAACAGTGATGAAAAGGCCAACCAACTGATGTAAACTCTCCAAGCTTTCATCTGAATATTGTCAGGCTTGACCTCCTGCTGTGAAGAAAACCTCTATTATTTGTTCTAATTTGAATGATTTCTGACATTTTATTCCAGCAGACGATCCTGGCAACCATGTTGGAGAGCACAGTGTGGCGAATTCCACAGCACAAACTACAACTGGCATGCCTGTTTCTGTACAGGTAGTGGCTCGCCATGGTGGGGGCCCCCCTAAAATCCACAGCTCTGGCCTCTCAGCAAAGTCTCCACAAGCCTCCACAACAGTGACACCAAAGAAGTGCTTTTTACAGATCACAGGCATGACCTGTGCATCCTGTGTGTCTAACATAGAGAGAAACCTGCAGAAAAAAGCCGGTAAGAGACCTATACCCACCCGTGTTACACTGGGAATGCTGCATCTGGACTGTCCAACACTGCATTCAGCAAAGTGGGGCGCCATGCTGTCCCTTCAGTCTCCACTGTCTGCATTTATCAGTGGCCCTGATAATCTGGTAGCAAGTTCATTATGTGATAGTATAGATGTTTGTCTAATGTTCATGGGCATGTTCTTTAAGAGGTATTTAGTTTGTTTGAGATAAATGTGTCTGAGTAAGTTAACTATGGGAATTCCAGTTTAGTGGTCATGGCACAATCTATTGTTAGCCTCCTCAGTTGGCTTGTCCTTCTAGTATCCTTATCTTTCTCCTCCAATTCCATCAAGTGAATAAAAGCCTGTATTTTGTGAAGTTCCAATTTCAAATATTTCATTTTTTTTGTCCCTGTAAACTATAGAGTGCTGTGGATTTGCCAAAGTACATTTTCCAAACTACATTTTCAATATTCTCTTAAACCTGAAAGTGCAACAAAAATCCTGTCCCAATTTTTTGTTTGGAAAATATTTTAACCATGACCCTCCCATGCCACCAGAGGTAGACAACTTTTCCCTTTCCTCACTCCAGTGGTTTCATGTGTCTCTCTGATGTGTCTCCCTGGCCCTTAGAGTCAACCCTAAATTAGGATGACACTTTGTCTAGCCTCATTTAGCTCCCTGGAGCTTTCGAATGACCTTGTTCACATTGAGGTATTAAAAGGACTTCCTTTAGGGTCATCCACAGAAAGGCTGCTCATAAAATTAACCTGGATCTCAAAGTGCTTATGTTTCTGTTCCTGACTTGAATCCCTTATTTTTATCCTTTATGGCGTTCTTTTTTGTTGTTAATCCTCACCCAAGGATATTTTTTTCCATTGCTTTTCAGAGAGAGTGGAAGGGAGCAAGAGTGGGAGGGAGGAAGGGAGAGAAACATTGACGTGAGAGAGACACATCTATTGGTTGGTGAGAGAGACACATTGATCAGTTGCCTCCCACATACACCCCAACAGGGGGTGGGAGCAAACCTGCAACCCAGGTACCTACCCTTGACCAGGAATCAAACCCATGACCCTTTGGTGCTCGGGCCGATGCTCTAACCACTTGGAACACTGGTCAGGGCCCTTTATGGCATTCTTAGAGCACATCATTGCTTTCATCTATATCAGTGGTTCTCAACCTTCCTAATGCCGCGACCCTTTAATGCAGTTCCTCATGTTGTGGTGACCCCCAATTTCATTGTTACAAATTGAACATAATTAAAGCATAGTGATTAATCACAAAAACAATATGTAATTATATATGTGTTTTCTGATGGTCTTAGGCAACCCCTATGAAAGAGTCGTTCGACCCCTAAAGGGGTCTCGACCCACAGGTTGAGAACCGCTGATCTATATCAATAAACCCCTTTCCCCTTAAACTAGTGGTTCTCAACCTTGGCTGCACATTAGAATCACCTGGGAATCTTTTTTAAATCCTGATTTCTGGGCCTCATCCTCTGGAAATTCTGTTTCTTTGTTACAGGGTGGGGCCACAACATTAGTAACAAAGAAACAGAATTTCCAGAGGATGAGGCCCAGAAATCAGGATTTTAAAAAGATTCCCAGGTGATTCTAATGTGCAGCCAAGGTTGAGAACCACTGCCTTAAACTAACACAATAGTGTTATTAGCAAGATAGTCCATGGGATTTCTTTTTCACTTCTTGAAATTATCAGAAACTGGAAAACCAGTTTTGAAAATTATTTTTCTTTATATGAAAATGACTGAAGAAAAAGTTTATCTTTACTGTAACAGTAGTTGCTGGCTGCAGACTAGATCCCTTGCTTTGAGATGCTTGCACCCATCAGTGTATTTTAGAGCCGGACTCAGAGTGGCCCCCCGGGCCAGCAGCATGAGCATCATCTTGGGAGCTGGCTGACCTGCAGAACCTCAGACACTACCCCAGACCCACTGAACCAGAATCTGTAGTTTAATAAAGTCTTCAAACTGGTTCATATGCCCATAAAGTGTGAGAAGTATTGTTCTAGAACAGTGGTTCACACTCTTAGCTATACATTAGAATCGCTTGGGGAGCTTTGAAAATGACGCCTCACACTCAACTGCAGATTCTGATTTAATTGGTCTGGGTTAAGAGCCAGGCATGATGGTAGTTAAAACCTCCCTAAGTGGTCCTCATGTGCGGGCCAAGTTTGAGAATCACTGTTCCAGAGACTTCGGGGGCAGATGGGCTTTTTGTTATTGTTTTTCTAGGTTATGTTGAACACCCAGAGACCTCTCCTAGAGTGTTACAGCTGTAGCTTGATTGTTTCAGGTATTCTCTCTGTACTGGTTGCCTTGATGGCTGGAAAGGCAGAAGTTAAGTACAATCCAGAAGTCATCCAGCCACTTGAGATAGCTCAGCTCATCCAGGACTTGGGCTTTGGGGCAGCAGTGATGGAAGACTACACGGGCTCCGATGGCGACATTGAGCTGATCGTAAGTACAGTGACTGAGCTGGAGCTGGGGTTAGCGGGTGGCAGGCCTCTGACAACCTGCAGATGTGATCAGTCAGCTTTCCCCCATCTTGCATATATCCTGTTTGCTGTTGTTTTGTTTGTATTATTTTGTATTGTAGCCAACAGGACCTCTTCATTTTGTGAAGGAATGTTCGTTGTGTCAGAAAGTCACAGGAGTGATTCCCATTGGGCACATTCAAGCTATTAGAAGAAGGAGGAGGAGATGGTGGGAGTGTTGGAGGAAGATGAATTTAATTAAAATGGCGACTGTCCCAAGTTGGTGGTTGGAGGGAGTTGAATAGGACCACTCCATACAGCCTGCATAGAGGAAGCTAGAATGTCAGCGGTGTCTTTTTTTTTTTTTTTTAAATATATTTTATTGATTTTTTACAGAGAGGAAGGGAGAGAGATAGAGAGTTAGAAACATCGATGAGAGAGGAACATCGATCAGCTGCCTCCTGCACATCTCCTACTGGGGATGTGCCCGCAACCCAGGTACATGCCCTTGACCGGAATCGAACCTGGGACCTTTCAGTCGCAAGCCGATGCTCTATCCACCGAGCCAAACCTGTTTCGGCCAGAATGTCAGCGGTGTCTTGAGGCTGGAGGAAGTGTATTGGCACTGTAGCCAGTGCCATTACAGATGGAGGGGGCTTGTAAGTGGACACAGGGCATCCAGAAGGTAACTGGTGACAAGATTGTTCTGAAGTGCTCAGTCTGAGTGAAGGCCAAGTATAGTTGCTGTTCCCAGTGTGGTCACGGTGGCAGGTGTAGGGTGGTGGTGGTGGGGAGGCGGGTATTTTCTGTCCATTGTTGCCTGCTGCATGTGTCAACAAATGGTTGAAAACAACAGGTATGTCTACTATTTTGAAAATGCTATGTTTACAAGCACTTGCGTACAAACCTCGTTTTGTGTAAATAAAGCAAACATAGAAAAAATGCACAAGGAATAGAGTAATGCTGTTTTACTTAGGTAAAAGAATCTTTTACTTCCTTCCTGTGTTTAGTCACTGCCTAAAGGTAAGTAAATGTTTAAAGAAAAAGTACTAAGGACACGAATGGCACTTTGACCTGCTGATAAGTGGTGGTCTTTGTTGAGTGAAGTCTTTGCTCTGGATGGGCCTCCATGTGTGTTGAGTGGCAAAGGGTGATACTCACTGGATTACGGCTCAAGTCAGCCCCTGTGATCTGAGCAGGGTGCCTGCTCAGACCACTATGGTGTGGAAAAATCTGAATCAAGAATATGGTTGGGCCGAAACCGGTTTGGCTCAGTGGATAGAGCGTCGGCCTGCGGACTGAAGGGTCCCGGGTTCGATTCCGGTCAAGGGCATGTACCTGGGTTGCGGGCACATCCCCGGTGGGAGATGTGCAGGAGGCAGCTGATCGATGTTTCTAACTCTCTATCTCTCTCCCTTTCTCTCTGTAAAAAATCAATAAAATATATTAAAAAAAAAAAAAAGAATATGGTTGGGAAAGGTGAAACTTTTTTTGAGAAATGTTTTTATCATCACCTGTTCAGACATGTTATGTGTGTATTTAATGGTATTCTGGGAAATTCTGTCCACTGATCCTTGGAGGAGTGAATTATCTGGTTTGCCTTCTACATATTACAGGGATGGCATATCTCACTCCTGTTTCTCAAGCCAAGATACACAGCATGGCGTGGCAGAGTGGCATAGCTTTCACTGGGCTTGAATTCAGGCTCTGTCGCTGCAGGGATGTGTCCTCACCTGGTCTGTGAGATCACCTCACGATGCTTGCTGCAGCGGTGCAGAGCCAGGCTCCGCTCTGCCACTCATTGGTGTGTGACTTTGGACAAGTTCCTAAACCTCCTAGTGCTGGGGTTACTGAGATCTGCCTTGCAGGGTTGATATGAGCAGGATAGTGCCTAGGGCAGTGCCTCTTAAGTTGCAAGTGTTATAATAAGTGTTACCTATTATTACTATAAAAGTAAAATGAGATCTTAGAAGCAACATTGAAATATTTGTAGACTTTATAGAATTCTATTTGCACAGCCACCTGCCAGCCAGTAAGCTTCTTGTCTGTGTGATGGTCCTTCCTTTCCTCCTTTTCCTTCCGTCTCATTACAGATGAGCTTGCTTCTCCTTTTCCCCTAATTCCACATGGGACTCTTCCATCTCTTCTAATACTTGATTCTCGGATTACTGATCCAGATTTCAAAGTGTAGCTCTAGTCTCATTCCAGTACTCATTACCCCTCCATGATTTCCCATCAAGTGCTGGCTTAGCAACCCTTTTTATTTTAATTTTAATTTAATTTTAATTTAATTTTATTTTTTGTTAATCCTCACCTGAGGATATTTTTCCCATTGATTTTTTTAATTAGAATGGAAGGGATGGGAAGAGACAAAGAGAGAGAAACATTGATGTGAGAGACACATCAATTGGTTGCCTCCACACGCGCCCCAACAGGGGCTGGGGATTGAGCCTGTAACCAAGGTACATGCCCTTGACCAGAATCAAACCTGTGACCCTGCAGTCCGCGGGCTGACGCTCTAACCACTGAGCCTCCAGCTAGGGCTTAGCAACCCTTTTTAGTTGGGTGCTCGAGATCTTCATGTGGTCCCAGCCAACATGGCAGGCTTCCTCTTCATTGCATATCCTGTGCCCTGCCAATGTTGACTGTTGGTTGCCAGAACACCACATGCTGCCCTGCCTTTTGTTTTTTCCCACGCTTCTCTCTGTGGTTATTCTTACTTTTACCTGGAAATACCCTATTCATACTGTGGGACTGCCTCAAATCCTATCAACTCGATCACTCACTTTCTATGTCATTTTCTCCTGTTGATAATGAGCTATTGACATTCTTACCCACAGCTGCAGACCAGATGCCAGCAACACTCGGGACCATAGAGAGTATTTCAAGAGCTCAGAGGGTTTTGTAGAGTTGCCCATCCTTATCAGTTTGACGCAGAGAAGGTGCATGCGCTATTATTCTAGTGTTGCTGGTGAGATGACTGAGAAGAGTGTAGTTGGCTGATGAAAGCCCATAGTTGTCAGAGCTGGAAGTCACACCTCCGTCATTTGCCATCTGCTTAGTAGAGTGGCTATGTCTCCTGTACCAGAATTGGGGAAGAACCACTGTTTCTATACTTGATGCCGCGGGTGAAGGATTGGGGTGAAGATGTTGCTCACAGGGTTTGAAGGTGGGAGTGCAGAGTCTTGGGGAGGTGCTGTGGGAGGAGGGGAGGCTCAGAAGCTCGTGGCTGCCTGAGTGCCTCTTTATTCTGGGTCAGCAGGATTTTTGTCATCTTGTGCTGCAGATCACTGGGATGACCTGCGCTTCCTGTGTTCACAACATAGAGTCCAAACTCATGAGGACGAATGGCATCACCCATGCCTCTGTGGCCCTAGCAACCAGCAAAGCCCATGTGAAGTTTGACCCAGAAATTATCGGTCCAAGGGATATTGTCAGAATTATTGAGGTAAGTCAGTCATTTAAAAAGTTATTCCCATCTTTTAAAAAACTAATTTATACCTATTGCGTGAGAGAGAGAGAGAGAGAGAGAGAAAGAGAGAACGAGAGCCAAGACCGGTTTGGCTCAGTGGATAGAGCGTCGGCTTGCGGACTGAAGGGTCCCAGGTTCGATTCCGGTCGGGGGCGTGTACCTGGGTTTCGGGCACATCCCCAGTAGGAGATGTGCGGGAGGCAGCTGATCGATGTTTCTCTCTCATCGATGTTTCTAACTCTCTATCTCTCTCCCTTCCTCTCTGTAAAAAATCAATAAAATATATTTAAAAAAAAAAGAAAGAGAGAACGAGAGAGAGAGAGAGAGAGAGAGAGAGAGAGAGAGAGAGAGAGAGAGAGAGAGAGAGAATACTGCTAAGGGAAAAAGGTCACCTAAAATCTTTCAACTTTTCCAATGGAAATAAGATGAATCATTGAAAAATAAACCAAATATCAGATATTCTAAAAGGAAAATCAGTGAATGGATAAGAATGTTGGAGAAAAAAGATGTTATTGTTTTAACTTCAGATATTCCCTGAGGAACATCAATATTGCCAAGATACCTGGTACATAGGGTTAAATCGCCTAAGTATATTTTTTAGGTATGATTTATATCTGTACCAAGTATCTATAGACTAAAGAAATGTTGATATTTGAAAGAATTATATGCATTTGCCACTATGCTAGGCCTGCTTTATAATGGGAGAGTTTGGTAATTTTTCCTTTGGAAAATAAATTAGAATAGTTTTCACACACTCCCTACCTCTCTGTTCCACTCAGTTTGTCCACAGACATACCATTTCATTTTTAAGGTCTATATTATACTGCACCATAATATGAAGAGCATTAGTGGTGATCTGAATGGGTTAAGTCAGTCAAAACCAAACAAGATTAACTTGTAACAACTAATGGTAAAAATAAATGAAGTTTAGGAAACTACTGCTTAGGAACTTGCTTATGAAATGAAACATCTTGTAGCAGGTTTAACTTTGTCTATACTTTTCTCTTCACTGTGTGTGTGCTGCATGCACGTGTTTTAAGAGAGATGTCTGTTGAATGGCTTGGCAGAGCTTTTTGACATGGAAATAATACTGTCACTCTGCACTGCTGGACAGTGCCTCACACTCAGAGACAGACAACACAGCTACTTTATCAGATGAGGAAAGATCCCAAGAGGGGCTAAGTACTTTGTTCACTGATGCCAAGCTAAAGATTGTAGGACTGTCTTTCAAACCCAGCTCTTACCAGCCTTTCTAGTTCTACCGCACTACAGGTGTGTGATATGGCGTTGATTAGGCTAAGAAGTCAGACTGCTATACTAAGTAGTAGGGAGGGTCAAGGTGGTACTTTGAACATGGCTCAGTATCCTTCTCCTGTATAATGCCCTTGCTGGCCTCCACTCTGTTCTATAAGCTTGGTAACGGCCCCCTCTTTGTCCTTACTTGAGGCCAAGGTCTGGCCTCTATTCTTGTGAGTCTGGGGCATCTTTTCCTAGTATAATTTGGGTGGTATTAGTTGTATAAGGATTTGTCTTCAGACTATCTTAGATGCTCTTTCTCCCACCATTGCTTTAATTTTTGTGTGAAATCCCAGTGCCAGAGTTGTGGAGCCCTTCTTCATTTTGTGTTAGCTGACAGGACATCCCCTGACAGCTTTTTCTGTGTGTATTCCTAAAGGATATTAGAGACATTTAGTGATCAGATCAAATAAGGCGGAGAGGGCAAAGAAGAGAGGCAGCGAAGGAAATGTTTGGGTTAATCCCTGAAGATAGCATCAGAATGAGGTGCGGTCTCTGGTCTCAATGGAAGTGACAGCTTGCAGATACTGAAGTAGCCACTGTCTGCTCAGAGTGAAGAGGCCTGAGTTGGGAGCCTGGAGAAGTGAGCACTGGGTCTGGGTATTCTGATAATGCCGTGCCTTTGGGCAGAGTATTTAACCTCCCTGACCCTCAGTTTCCTCATGCAGAGAATGAAAGCAGCTGACCACTCTATATTTGGGATTCCTTAACTCAAAAATTCTGAGTTTACAACTCAACACTGATCAGCTTGGGGCACACTGATATTATCTCCAGAGCTGCTGCCTTTGTTGACAGAGGAACAGGAATTGCCATCTGAAGCCATCTCCTTGGGATGCAACAGCCTCTAAGCATAGATGGTGTGGGTCCTCTGACAGAATTCATAAAGTGATTTGGGTAAAGTTGTGGGAGGAAAAAACAGTACATTTCTCTGAGGCAATTTTAGATTAGCTTTCTAATATCAAAAGATGTAAAATACTTTCTACCTATGTATGTTTTAACCAAGTGCCTTTCTCTTTGTTTTCCCCACCCTTCTCTTTTAATAATAAGGAAATCGGCTTTCATGCTTCCATGGCCCAGAGAAACCCCAGTGCTCATCACTTGGACCACAAGATGGAAATAAAGCAGTAGGTAGAACAGAAAAGATCAACTGAAGCTCTTGCTTCCCTCTCTCTGGGTGTGACATGCCTTATTCTGTGCTTCTCAGTGTCCCTGCTTCCCTGATTTCCCACAGTGTTATCCACTTGGATTGGTTGCCTTTACCCTTGTTATGTTAACCCTCTAGTGCTGTCCACTAGACCTTTCTGCTGTGATAGAAATGTTCTATATCTTCTCTGCCCAATATGGTAGCCACTAGCTAAGCTACTGAGTACTCAAAATGCAACTAATGTGACTGGGGAACCGAAGTTTAAATTTCATTTAATTTAACTAATTTTAATTTAAATAGCCACCTATGACTGGTGGCTAACAGATGGGAGAGCACTTTTTTTGTTTTCTAAATATTTTTTATTGATTTCAGAGAGGAAGGGAAATGGAGGAGAGAGACAGAAATATCATGATGAGAGAATCATTAATCAGCTGCCTCTTGCATGCCTCCTACTGGGAATGGAGCCCACAACCTAGGCATGTGCCCTGGCCAGGAATCGAAGTGTGATGACCTCCTGGTTTCTAGGTCGACGCTCAGTCACTCAGCCACATCAGCTGGGCAGGGACAGCACTGAAGTTGGAAGGAAGGGAGCATGGATTTTTTATTTTATAGTATTTTGATAACTTATTTGAATGGGTTCTAGAACCAGGATCCAAGGACAAGAATTGTAGCCAGTTGGAAAGAAAATGGCCTGGGAAGCAGGAGACCTGAATTCATTCATTGTTTCAGATGTTCACATATTCATTCAATAAACAAGGCCACTGTCCTAGCAGGACACTGTGCTAGGTATAGGGGATGAATAGAATGTTCCTACCTTTGAGGTGCCCATTTCCTGGCTGGGAAAGAGTGGATGAGTGATGATTCAAGTGAGTTCTGGGAAGTCTGGAAGCCAAGAAGCAGAGGACACATGATCTGGGCCTCAAAGAATGAGTGGCAGTTCCCGGGCTGAGGGAGTGGGTGTGGAAGTGAGGGTGATCTAGGGGCACAGTGGCAGGGGAACTTCATGGATTCTTAGGTGGTTTCCTGTGGTTGGTTGGCCTGCAGCAGAGGGCTGGCAGTGAGGGGCTAATTCTTGGGGTCTTGGGCGGCCTCCTGAGGAGATGAGACTTGAACCTCATAGGCACTGGTTTTCAGTTAAGGTGCATCAGTTCCCACAACCATTTGGTTAGAATTTCATGGATGCTGAAGCTAATGTGAAACCACAGCTGTCACTGATGACCAACCCCCATTTCAAATTTCGGTGTTCAACAAGACAGCTTCACTGTTCTCCCCGACTATTTTAAGTATAGTTTTAAAAGTAAATGTCTAAGTAAGTTAATACTAATAAAAGGTTACTTTTACCTATTTTTTCTTGGGAGTTTGCATAAGATTACATTTTGAATAAAGAGCTGTAGGCAGCCATAGACAAAGATGTTAAGTCTCTTGGGCTGAATTCTCAGCTTCTGGGCCTCGGTTGCCTCACTTGTAGGTTGGAGGTAACATGTAAGCCATCGGCAGGCATGGGCTGGCTCTAAACATCTCAGGAATGTCCTTGCAGCGAAGTTTAGACCTTTAGGTGTTCCCTCAGATGGCCTGTGTCAGGGAGAGAGCTTTTCTTTCATTTTAGCCCTTTCATTTTGCCCCACACATGTGACAAAGTCAAGTCTTAAGCTGAGTTCTCAGGAGAGGCCCAGCCATAATCCAAGTGGCAGGCGGTACCTGACCTGTTGGTATTGCTCGTTGCTTTCCAGGTGGAAGAAATCTTTCCTGTGCAGCCTGGTGTTTGGCATCCCTGTTATGGGTTTAATGATCTATATGTTAATACCCAGCAATGAACCCCATGAGTCTATGGCCCTGGACCACAACATCATTCCAGGATTGTCGATTCTAAATCTCGTCTTCTTTATCTTGTGTACCTTTGTCCAGGTGCGTACCAGAAAAAAGGTCAAACCTCTGCCTTTCATGTTTGTGCGTGACCAGCACTTGATTGCAGCTTTCCTGAACTACCCTGGCCCACTGCTGTTTTTTTTCCATCTTATGTCCAGCAGCGGGTGTCCTCTACCACAGAGGACTTATAAGAATCTTGTTTCTCTGTCAGTTTCACTGTTGATTGCAGATGATTGACATTTGACTGGCATAGCAACCACCTTGGTGCCAGGATTGGTGAACCGGTTATCTTTAGTTTGCTTTTCTTTTAGCTTAATTTACTTTTGTTGTTAGAAGCAGCAGTTAGATCACTGTGTAGCTCGAGCTTCTCTCTAACGTCTTATCTTGAGAGGTAGAAATGTGATTCTGAGGAAATTGTAATGTAAAAGAGATGGGCCTCAGGGAACTTCTAGGGGGCAATGTTAAGGAACTGGCCATATTTCTATATGGCCTCCATATATTTTGGATTAGGAAGTAAAACTCCTGACTTAATATCAAAATGTTTAGGACTATCAAGGGGCAAGTCTTTGTAGGCTGAATTTGTGTATTTTTTCCTGTATTTTCTTTTTAATTCCAAATGTAATGTACGTTTATTGTAAATAATTCAAGCCACATTGAAGTATAAAAAGAAAAGAAGATGATATATTTTCACTCCTGGCACCCTGCCTGCAGCCCAGTGCCATTCCCCAAGGTCACATTATTATTATTACTAGAGGCCCGGTGCATGAAATTCATGCACTGGGGGGGGGGGGGGTTGTCCCTCAGCCCAGCCTGTACCCTCTCTAATCTGGGAATCCTCGGGGCATCGGGCCTAAACTGGCAGTAGGACATCCCTCTCACAATCCGGGACTGCTAGCTCCCAACTGCTCACCTGCATGCCTGCCTGATTGCCCCTAACCACTTCTGCCTGCCAGCCTGATCACCCCCTAACCGCTCCCTTGCCAGGCTGATCGATGCCTAACTGCACCCCTGCCGGCCTGGCCACCCCCACTGCCCTCCTCTGCTGACCTGGTCACCTCCCACTGCCCTCCCCTGCTGGCCCGGTTGCCCCCACTGCCCTCCTCTGCCAGCCCGATCGCCCCCAACTGCCCTCCCCTGCCAGCCCGGTCGCCCCCACTGCCCTCCCCTGCAGTCCTGGTCGCCCCCAACTGCCTTCCCCTGTAGGCCTGGTCCCCCCGCAACTGCCCTCCCCTGACGGTCTGATCACCCCCAACTGCCTTCCCCTGTAGGCCTGGTCCCCCCGCAACTGCCCTCCCCTGACGGTCTGATCACCTCCCACTGCCCTCCCCTGCTGGCCCGGTTGCCCCCACTGCCCTCCGCTGCCAGCCCGATCGCCCCCAACTGCCCTCCCCTGCCAGCCCGGTCGCCCCCACTGCCCTACCCTGCAGGCCTGGTCACCCCCACTGCCCTCCCCTGCCAGCCTGGTCACCCCCAACTGCCTTCCCCTGCAGGCCTGGTCCCCCCCCAACTGCCCTCCCCTGCAGGCCTGATCGTCCCCCACTGCCCTTGCCTGCCAGCCCGGTTACCCCCACTGCCCTCCCCTGATGGCCTGGTCACCCCCACTGCCCTCCCCTGCAGTCCTGGTCGCCCCCAACTGCCTTCCCCTGTAGGCCTGGTCCCCCCGCAACTGCCCTCCCCTGCAGGCCTGATCGCCCCCAACTACCCTCCCCTGCAGGCCTGGTCCTCCACAACTGCCCTCCCCTGCCGGCCATCTTTGATCACATAGGGGCAGCCATCTTGTGTGAGGGTGTGATGGTCAATTTGCATATTGCCTCTATTAAATAGGATTACTAGTTGGTTGTGTATCTTTTATCCATATAGGTAATATTTAAGTATGTATCTATGTGTGTATACATGTTCATATAAGGCAGATCCATCATAATAAATGTAGTGTTTTATAACTGCCTTCTCTACTTAATCGTGTACATCTTTCACTCTAGTGGTTTATACACTGAGTGGCCAGATTATTATGACCACCCCATCAGTACAATGAAGTGAATTAGTTATGCAAATAATAATAATAAAACCTTGAGAGTATTTGCTTAGGAAGTTTTCAATATTCAGTATTTTTGGAAATGTCAATGAAGTACTGATGGGGTGGTCATAATAATATGGCCACTCAGTGTAGATCTAACACACTCACCCTAGGGACTGCATAGTATTGGCCACAGCATAAATGAAGTGTGATTTATTGTACCATTGTCACCATGGACATTTAGGTTATGTACTCTGAGTTTTGAAGGTCTCCCATGCCCTTGATTATCCATTCCTGTGGCCATTAGTCCTCTGAATTAGGAAATATATTTCAAAAACATTGATTATAGAGGAAAAAGTAACATCAAAATTGTGGGTGAGCCCAGAGTTTTTGCCAGCCCAAGGGCCCTCTGGGCCTCCATTTGCTCCTTGAACACTGTGCCCTGCTTGTTTCAGCTATCCCTTCATCTGTCTTTCAGTTCCTCGGTGGGTGGTACTTCTACGTTCAGGCCTACAAATCTCTGAGACACAGAGCTGCCAACATGGATGTGCTCATCGTGCTGGCCACCAGCATTGCCTATGCCTACTCTCTGGTCATCTTGGTGGTGGCCATTGTGGAGAAGGCTGAGAGGAGCCCCGTGACATTCTTTGACACTCCCCCTATGCTCTTTGTGTTCATTGCCCTGGGGCGGTGGCTGGAACACGTGGCAAAGGTAAGTGCAGCTTTATGTTACAAGAACTCTTCCTTCAGTAATACAAATCTTAATACATCTGAACACCATGTTTAGAATTACTAACTATACACAATTAGAGCAAGACTTAAAAGAAATGTGAAACCTACATATACTAGTAATTAGGTGCTTTGATCACTAATCTCCAAATTGGTTGCTACTTCTGAAATCCCAGCTAATCTGGTTAATTATTAAAACCTTTGTTCGGTGCATTGTGTCATGGAAAGAACCCTGGATTTCAGGTCAGAGGTCATGCCATCTCTTAGTACATAACTGAGTATACTACTTATTAGTCTAGAAATCCGCATTTCCACTAATGCAGGTTATTAAAAATGGGTCATGCCATTTTAAATAGCCTGCATTGTACTCAGTATTTTAATGTATCTTATAAATGAATGGGACCCTGGCCCTGAAAGAAATGGGCTTGAACCTAAAAGAAAACTATCAGTGGGTAGATTGGTATTATTTTTTCAGTCTGAAATGTTTAATTGAACTGTGGCCTTTGTGCATTCAGTGTGGCGATGACATGGCTGTGTTGATGCTCAGTGGGTCCCATCGACCAGGAGAGCCCTTTGGTGTGCTGTGTTAGGGGCACAGACTTTTCCTGCAGGGGTCAGTTTATGATACTTCTTGTTTTACATTCTGGTTATTTCTTAGAGCAAAACCTCAGAAGCCCTTGCCAAACTCATGTCTCTCCAAGCCACAGAAGCCACCGTGGTGACCCTTGGCGAGGACAACTCAATCATCAGGTGTGTTATCTTCATCCAGAGTGCTTAGTCAATTTATGTCAATCTGTGTCATACACATCAAACACCCATCGTGTATGTGACACTAGATCTCATGAAAGCGGGCATAGACATGCACAATAAGATCCCTCCTTCTATCCAGTCATGTACACCAGGCATTTAAGTACCAAAGATAAGCACAAGTTCACAGTGCTGTATGCTGCTAAATGATAAATTAGAGGTACAGACGGTTTGTAGCCCTGGAATTTAGAAGAGGAAGGCTTGTGGTGGTCAAGAAAAGCTTCCCAAGGAACATGGAGTGTGAGCTGGGCCTTCCTTGCAAGATTCAGAGGATTCAGACAGGCTGAGAGATAAGGGTTTCAACTTGCCAAGAATAAAAAAGGAAGTAGTATTTTTCTTTTTCACAAGGTTGGCAGATATTAAAAATGATTATTTTCATTATTGCTGGAACTTATATAGCATTTGCTGTTTGCCAGACTCTATTCTAACCTCTTTTATTTAATCTAACAAAAATATGGTAATAATAAAACTTTGAGTAAGGGACTAATAGTACCATTATTTTAAAGATGAGGAAACTGCCCTAACCAGTTTGGCTCAGTGGATAGAGTGTCGGCCTGTGGACTGAAGGGTCCCAGGTTCGATTCTGGTCAAGGGCATGTACCTTGGTTGCGGGCACATCCCCAGTAGGGGGTGTGCAGGAGGCAGTTGATCATTGTTTCTAACTCTCTATCCCTCTCCCTTCCTCTCTGTAAAAAATCAATAAAATATATTTTTTTAAAAAGATGAGGAAACTGAAATTCAGAGAAGCTAAGCAACTGGCCCATGGTCACACAGGTAGTAAGGAGTTGAGTTGGGATATAACCCAGCCTGTTGGTTTCAGAGTCCATATTCTTTATCCTTACATATACTGACTCTTAAAGCATATTTAATAATAGGGACATTTTTACAAATTTGCTTCTGTATTTCTCTGGTCAGCCTCATTTTCAAATTCTAGATAGTGGTTATTTATATGCTTTCTTCACATTCCTGAAATCTCCCCAGCTCTACCACTTTCCCTTTTAACCTGTGATCTCACTGGTGACTATTGACATCTACCAGTTTCCTGCCGCTCAAATTACAAAGCTATCTTCCCCTGCTGCACACTCCTGCCTGCCCCATGGAACATGGGTCTCTCTCCTTGGGCCTCTGTTCAGGAGCTTCCTCTGTTGATTTCTTGTTGATCTTCAGTGCCTCCATCTTTGCAGATTGTTACCATCCAGTATGACATATACTCCAAACTCTGTTGTTTACACCAACCTGTGCCCTTCTCCCACTGTGTACTTGTCCATTCATCACACTCTTGCCAGTGCCGGTTCACTGGCTGTGTCCTCCAAGAGACAAACTTCTGAGGTCACTGGCACAGGTCCTTTTCCCCAGTGGGGCTCTCAGTGAGCCTGTGCTGAGTACATGAACCATTCAGTGAGACCTGAAGAACTAAGTTAATGAGGCACAGGCTGACTGCAGCACTGTATTGTCTGGCTGCTGGCTTTTAAATACTAATCAGAATTATGATGGTGATAGCTGAGATTCGAGAACTTATTATGTACCAGGTACACTACTCAGCACTTTGCATAAATTATCTGATTTAACCCTGATATGCCCTATGAGGCAGGTGCTCTCATGATTCCCCTTTTATTAGGAAGAATCTTAGGTATGTGTCCACATCAGGTGAGTGGCAGGGCTGGGACTAGAGCCATGCAGACACAGAGCCACCCTTCAGACAGGAGGACCCCGTTGGCACTTGTAGGCTTGTTGGCACCTGTAGGCTTCCACGTGCACTTGGTTACTTCTACACTAGTAACCTTCTTGGCTGCTTTATTTTTTCCTTTTTCTTTTTTTTCAATTTATCTTTATTGGTGAAAGTATTACAGATGTCCCCTTACCCACCCACCCTCACTTCCATCCCTCCCCAGGCCTTCCACAAATTATTGCTTTTCTTCTTCTAAATTAATGATGAGAGTTTCTGAGAAGTGAAAATGTTCAGGTGAGGAATAAAGCCAAGAGCAACTTCATTTACTGTTTACCTTTCATTTGGAAATGCGTCTGAAAGCGTGGATTACCATGGCAATGGACAGCTCCATTGACTTCAATACAGGAGACATGCATCTTTGCCAGAAGGCAAAAGCTAGTTGAAATACCAAAGTACTGTGGGGCTAAACACCTGCCATAACTCAGTTCTTTTCCAAAGATGGTGATTAATTTTTGTTGGTGGACACATTATGGGCCTGACTACCATCATAATGTGGTGGTACCATTTTTTAAGCTAGGAGCTTGAAGACCATTCTGGCTTTGCCTCAGATGGGCTGTGTGCTTGGAGCAAATCAATTAATGCCTGTTTTGTACAGTTCCTCTCTGTCAAATGGGGGAGGAGGGTCCTGACAGGGTGTTCTGGGCTACTTGGAGGAGATGGGCCCATGGTCACCCCTTGCTTTCCTGCCTTTCTGAGTAGCTTTGGTACCAGGCCTCCCCACCCCAAGTCAGACTCCACCTCCTACAGGGCCCTCCTGCATCTGGGCCTCTGCTGGTATGGACAGGTCCGCGTTGCCTCCTGAAGGCCACTGGAGTTTCCTGCCTCAGCTGGCTCCGTTCAGTGAGACCTTCTGCCAGGGCCACCTCTCCTTTCTCTCCATCCCAAGTCTTGGGTGATGGGAACATCTGCATAGCTGATTGATCTGGCAGTCATTTCTTCATTCTCCTCATTCCTTAAATATCAATGAATCTTGGCTTTCAGTGTTGGCCCCATTGTCTGTTGTCTTGGTGTGTTACAGACTGTCGCTGGGATACCTTCTATCCCCTGTGTCTTCATTCTCAAAACCGCCTCAGGTGCCAATGTTGTTCCCCTGCCTGTTGGAATCCGTCTCTTGGGTGGGCATAAAGACCCAGTCCACCTGTTTGCGTCCTTCCCATCATCTTCCCTCTGTGCTTCCTCCCAGATGCTTCCCTCTTCCCCTTGTGCCTGTTTGTCTCCGTGAATAGCACCATCCCACACCAGCTCCCAGGCAGAGGCCTAGGTGTCCTATGTGACTCCTTTTCCTCTCATCCGCACTTACAGGCTCTGTCCTCTCACTTCTAGCTCCACAGCCACTGGTGGCCTCGCACACTGCCCTTTCCCACTGCAACCACACTTGCTCAGGCCACTGCCATCTCTCGTCTGAAGCATTGTAACACTCTTAGTCTCCTTCAAAATATTTACCACAAATCAGATGGCGTTATTGTGTAGCTATTTTGCTATTGTACATACTCAGCACACATGTGAGACTCAGCATCTGCCCTGTGTGCCTCTTGGGATCAGCCTCTTGTCCTGTCATTCCTCCGAATCGTCCACCCACTGGCAGTTCCTAGGAAGAGGCTCTCTCCTGTCTCCAGGCCTCTGTACACTGCAGGTGTCATCTCTGCCTCTGAACACCTTTCTTCCTTCCCCTTCACCTGGCTCCTGTCCTTCAGGTCTTGGTTTAGATGTCGTGTCCTCCAGAAGCCTTTTCTGTCCCAAAGCCTGGCTTGTGGTCACTCCTCAGTGCTCTCCAAGCACTTGGTGCCTTCGGTCACCCTGGACATACACGTGGCAGGTGCTCAGATACTGACTAGTTGAATGAATGAAACAACTGTCAAATGTTAAATAAATTCCACATGCGTATTGCTTGACATTGAAAGGCCTGTACAGCCTGGTCCCCAATCTCTCACACTGAAGTGTTTTGTTTCTTATAACTGGGAAAACAAAATTATAAATTTTATCTAGACCAGTGGCTATTCTAAGTGTGTGTTTGTGTGTGTGTGTGTGTGTGTGTGTGTTGTCTTTTGTTTTTTGTTTTGTTAATCCACACCCAAGGATATTTTTTTCCGTTGATTTTTAGAGAGAGTGGAAAAGAGGGAGGGAAGGGGAGAGAGGAACATCAATTGGTTGCCTACCACAAAGGTCCCAATGGGAGCCAGGGATCAAACCTGCAATCTAGGTACGTGACTTTGACTGGGCCCTTGACTGAGAATCGAGCCCAAGACCTTTCAGTGCTTGGACTGACATTCTAACCACTGAGCAACACCAGCCTGGGCTTTTCTATTTATTTTTAACTTGTGTTAGACAAGTAAGCAGACAGGCAAGGTAAACAGACTGCTGGCAGGAACTCTTAAAGTTGAAGAAATGCTAGGGTAAAAGCTGTTTCAATTAAATATATCTCCACAACTCAGCATTTTGGAGGCCATTAGTTGCTGAAGGAGAAATGCTACTAGGAACGCACCAGAAGGAGCCACCTTCACCCCTATAAAGGGCTGTTCACTTCAAATTAAGCTGTTCAGAGTTAGGAAGATTGGTTAATTCAGATCAAAGTGGAAATTTAAAGTTAGATTAAGCAGATATTAACATTACTAATACAAGGGCACCTAATTGGACATGTGTGCCAAGTATCACCATATAAGCCAAAAGCCTAGTAGGTAGCTAATGGGGGAGGAGAGATTCTGCCCCCACAGTCCTCTTTTCTGAAGTGTGCAGGCGTTCCTTTTCCTGACACAGCCGCCTCTTGCCAAGTGGAGACCTCTGGGATGATAAGCATTTCTCCAGGTCATACAGACAGGACTCGGAAAGGTGGAGTCGGAGCCTGGATGTCTCCATCGCTGAAAGGCTTCAAAAGAAAGCAGAGTATTCTCGAGTTGCAGAGATCCTCCCCTTCTCCTTGTTCGCCACCCTGCCGAGTCACCAGTTTACACATCCGACACTCAGGACTTTAGTCTGCTGCCCACTTTCCCTTGAAAGGTCTCCTTTTCAGTACTCCCTTTATTTCATTACTAGAGGCCCAGTGCACAAAATTCGTGCATGGGTAGGGTCCCTAGGCCTGGCCAATGATCAGGTCTGATCAGATTCCTGCCTCCCCGCCTCCTCCTTCCCTCGCTCCCTCAGCGTCCCGCTGCCACTGATCACCTGCCATGTTCCACACCACCCCCTGGTAGTCAGTGCACATCATAGCAAGCAATCAAACTCCCGGTCTCCAGGTTGAACTCCCAAGGGGACACTTTGCATATTCGCCATATATATATATAGATGGCCATTATTGAAGTAACATATCAAATAGGCTTTTAGCTTCTAGCCCTCCCAAGAGGAAGGCTCCACTTTGTCCTGTTCATTACTGCAGCCTAACACAACACTTGTTAACACAGAGGCTGGTCAGTAGTGCTGGACACTTACTATATGTCAGGCACTGGGACTCCCATCATCTCAGTTAATCTTGGGAACAAAATTGCTATTGTGGAAAGGAGGACTCTGGCTTTGAACCAGGGTTTGACCAGGATTGCACTGCTGCTCCGTGGCGAGGACTCTGAGCTCCTGAGGTCAGGGCCACGTCTGCCGTGCTCACTCCTGTGTCCCCAGCTCCTGATGCACACGGTGCACACGTGAACTTAGTCTCAGGGTAGGCTTCGTGTGCTCAGGCAGCCTGCACCAGGTGACACCGCGGGAGCAGTGTGCCCTCACAGCCTCGCAGGAAGGGGGCGGCGTGGTGGGTACATCTGGACCTTCAGGTTCAGGCAACATTGAGTCCTCACTACAGAGGACATTCCTAACACCTTTTAAAAAAGAAAATATTGATGTAAATATGTAAAACCTGTCTGCACAAGCTGGTTCCTGAGTCTTATACATTTATACAGTGATTTTTCAAGAAATGGGCACCTATGTCCAATTTTGTACCTTTCTTAGAAATGTTCAGGTTTCTGCCCAAATGGGTGAATATCACCTTATCTCATATGCTTTTGGGAAGATTCAGAGAGAGAAGACATCTACAAACCTAGCACTGTACCTGCACTCAGTAAATGTCTTTTTCTTTCTCACATAAATAAGGTGGCTTTTTGTACATCCTCTCTGGTAGTGTAAATGTAGTCTTTGTAGAACAAAAGGAAAGTATAAAATAACCTCAGATTTCTGCTTGTTGTACAGACCTGATTTTCTGATTTTTCACCATTTTTTCGTGAGCCAGCAAGTGCTGTATATTTGGCCCACACAATGATTTTAGAGAGGTGCTCCCAAAGCTGGTCCAGGTTCCCTGCCTGGTCCCTCTCGCTTTCTCACTCTTCCTGCTGGTCCTCCTCCCTTTCTCTCTCTCACCACCCCACCATCATCATACAATTTACACTTTGTGCAATTCATGATTTCCTATCTTAATTCGCTCCCTCTTCTGCTTCTGTTATTTTCTCCCCTTTCACAACAAAACTTCTTTTAAAAGTTGTCTTTAGCTGCTATCTTCGTTTCTCTACTTCACATTCTCTCTTCAGCCCATTCCAGTTGAGCTTCTGCCTCTACCAATTTCTGCAATTGCTTTTGCCAAAGACATCAAGTAATTTCCATGTGCCCAAATCCAACCTTAATCCACATTTCAATCTCTCACCAGCACTTTTAGCCTTTATTGCCCCTTACATTTTTCTTTTTTATTAATGTATAATTTATATTCACTGAAGTACACAAATTAATTCTAATATAGAGCATGATGAATTTTACGTTTTTGCATCTGTGTAACTACATCTGCATATTTGATGACATCTGGGTGCTCCTTCGGATCCTCTCCTTTTCCTTCGCTTCACTGGCTGGCCCTTTGCATCTCCCTCACTGGCCCTTCCACTCTTGCTCAACCTCCAAATATTGGTATGACCCAGGGCTTAGTTCCAGATCTCCATTTTTCCTGTTACTCTTCTAGGTAAGCTCTTAGCATTTCATGGTTTCAAATGCTTTTCTATTTTGTCAGCCCCTGATTGTACCTCAAGCCCTGATCTCTTCTGTCTTTTGTGTGTACGTGTGTTAATCCTCACCTGAGGATATTTTTTCATTGTTTTTTAGATTGAGTGGAAAAGGAAGGGAGGTGGGGGAGGTAGAGAGAAAGAAACATCAATGTGAAAGAGACATATCGATTGGTTGCCTCCCGCATGCCCCTAACCCGGCCGGGGTGCGAACCTACAACCCAAGTAGATGCTCTTTTTTTAAAAAAAAAATATATATTTTTTTATTGATTTCAGAAAAGAAGGGAGAGAGTTAGAAACATCAATGATGAGAGAGAAACACTGATCGCTGCCTCCTGCACGCCCCACAGTGGGGATCAAGCCCACAACCTGGGCATGTGCCCTGACCTGGAATTGAACTGTGACCTCCTGGTTCATAGCTCCACGCCAGCTGGGCCCAAGTACATGCTCTTGACCTGGAATCAAACCCGAGACCCTTCCATGTGCGGGCCGCAGCTCTAACCACTGAGCAGCACCTGTCAGGACTCCAATCATATTTTCAACTTCCTACGTAACATTAAGTCATATAGGCATTTCAAACCTAACAGGTTAAAATGGAGATTTTCAGTTAGCCTCCTATTTCCTCTTCCTCCCTCAGCTGCTTCTCCATAGTTCTTGTCATTTCATTACATGATTTCTCATCCACCCAGTGGCTCACACTGAAAATTTAGAGTTCATCTTTGATTCTTTCCCTGTGTATTTAGTGCATCTGCTCATCTTACTGATGCAGGCCCTAAACACTTCCTGGGTATTTCATCACTCCATCTCTAGCCTGTGCCATTGACATCTTTTGCTTGGGTGATTGCAACAACCTAACTCTTATCTCAGCTTCTGTTATTTCCCCTACAGCCCATGCTCCTGCAGCAGCCAAAGAGACGAAAATGGGAATCAGATTATGTCACTTTCCTACTGAAAACCCTACATTCAAGCATACATACATCTCTGCTCTGCAAGGTCCAATGTGATCTGCATTCTGCCTGCCCCACTTTCTTCTCTCCAGCAATGCTTGCCAGCTTCCTATTTCTCAAAGGCACCCTTTCTGTCTGCCTTAGGGCCTTTGCATTAGCTGTTTTTTCTCCCTTGAATGTACTTTCCCAGGTATTTTGGCCTCTCTTGTCATCCAGATCTCAACTCAAATGTCATTGTCAAGTGAGGCCTTCTCATTTTTTTCCTCCCTCCACAACTAAAGAAGCCCTCCAGTCACATTTTCATCACAGCGTTTATTTAATACCTGGACTAATTTGTTTGCTCTGTTTCCTCCACGAAATTTGTCTTCATGAGGTGGGGACTTTGCTATCCCAGTCACAGCTATATTCCCAGTGCCACAATAAATAGTAGTGGCACAATAAATACTGACTCAATCTGTAACTGACAGATACACGGAATACCGCTGCTCTGTGTAAAACAAGTATAGTGTAACCAGTCCAACAGTTGTAGAACTCAGCCCGAGTGACAGACCAAGAGGGTGAGCTGCAATGAGTGGCCATGTGTGTAACTTGAGTGGCATTTATTGCAGAGAGGAGCAAGTGCCCATGGAGCTGGTGCAGCGGGGTGATGTCATCAAGGTTGTTCCAGGGGGAAAGTTCCCAGTGGATGGGAAAGTCCTAGAAGGCAATACCATGGCCGACGAGTCCCTCATCACAGGTTAGGTGACTTGTTTTGCATTCCCTTCGGGTGGGTATCAGTGCAGTGGCAGGTCCCATGAACACTGAATGGGGCTTTAGTGCATGAAAGTTGGTCTCTTCTCTCCACCTCTAGGAGAAGCCATGCCAGTCACTAAGAAACCTGGAAGCACAGTGATTGCTGGGTCTATAAACGCACATGGCTCTGTGCTCGTTAAAGCTACCCATGTGGGCAATGACACCACTTTGGCTCAGATTGTGAAATTGGTGGAAGAGGCTCAGATGTCAAAGGTAATGTAAAAATGTAAAGAACAATATCTCTTCTGCTAGAAGGGGGTGAGCTAGAAGAGGTCAGTGGCGGGGGGGGGGCGGGGGGAGGGAAGAGGGGGCATACTTTCAACAATAAAGTGGTGTTTTTTTTTTAAGTTAATGAGGGAGCTGAGAATCCCAGTCCTTGTCCATTCTTGTGGTGTTTGATTGCTTTGCAGATTGTAATTTCCTGTGGTCTTGGTGTTTTATTTTTATAGGCACCCATTCAGCAACTGGCTGACCAATTTAGTGGATATTTTGTCCCATTTATCATCATCATTTCAACTTTGACGTTGGTGGTGTGGATTATAATCGGTTTTATCGATTTTGGTGTTGTTCAGAAGTACTTTCCTGTAAGTTGAATGCTGTGGGCTATATGGTTGTTGTTTTAGATAAGCTATTGCCATTAACCCTATTCTTTCATGTCTTAGATTCAATGGGCTTTGGTTACCCATTACATTTTATTTGCTTGCTTTACTTATTGGCAGCAAAATCTTAGCTGTGGTAGGAAATCAGTCACTTTACTTCTGCAGGTTTTTATTAAAGACTAGAGGCCCAATGCACAAAATTCTTGCACTTGAGGGGGCCCCTCAACCCGGCCTGAACCCTCTTGGTGTCCGGGAGCCTGCAGGGAGTGGCCTAAACCATCAGTCTGACATCCTTAGCACTGCCGTGGAGGCAGGAGAGGCACCCGCCACCGCTGCTGCACTCGCCAGCTGTGAGCCCAGCTTCAGGCTGAGTGGTGCTCCCCCTGTGGAAGCACACTGACCACCAGGGGGAAGCTCCTGCATTGAGCGTCTGCCCCTTGGTGGTCAGTGCGCATCATAGCAACCCGTCGTTCCGCAGTTTGGTCGATTTGCATATTAGCCTTTTATTATATAGGATAGGATGGTCTTTGCTTCCTAGTTAGATAATTTCACAAACATCAGTTGGCTCTCAGTTGCAATGCTTCAAGCAGTATTGTCCATTTGGAGAGTTTTGAACCACACACCATAGCAGATAGGTCACTTCAGATTTTGATGGCATGCATGATAATATTTAACAAATTTTAAGAAAAATGTATTTTTGCTGTCTATGTCCATAAATACCATCTTTAACCTTGCAGCTTTCCAAGCAATGCTAGTGGGTTTTTAGTAAATATCTATTCAACATGAGGCAATGGTCTATACATATATTTTTAGTTTAAAAAGTGGATGAAGAATTTATCTTAAGAAATGTAGTTTTATCAAACATTTAAAAAGGTATAAAATAACAAAACAAAAAAAACTTTCTGCTTTAGAAATTAGAGCTTAGTGATTTCTAATTGGGACTGATTTTGTTGCCCCCAGGGACATTTGGCCATGTCTGGAGACATTTTTGGTTCTCATGACTGAGGAGGGGATGCTACTGGCACCTAGTGGGTAGAGACCAGGGATGCTGTTAACATTCTACAATGCACAGGACAGCCCCCACAAATAATTATCTGGCCCTAAATATCAATAGTGCTGAGGTTGAGATCCCTTGATATACATAAAAAGCTAATGACCCACTTACTAGTAGAGTAGTATTTGATAACTGCCCAGTGAATAGAACAATGTTTTACCTTATTTTTCAAAAATATCTCATACTTAGCCCAGTGTAATGTGTACCTTAGAGCCATAGAATAAGAAATTGCAACTATGGAATGGATAATACTTTTAAAAAACTTGTTTTTACTCATAATTAAAGGTATATCATATTGTCGGTGTGTGTGTGATTCACTAAGATGTCATTTTCTCTCTTAAATTTCCTATCTTAAAATGAAAAATGTCCAAGTTTTACATTTTCTGACATCTAAGGAGACTTCATTGCTTTTAAGTAACCTATGACTGTATTCCAGAATTTGCCACTGGCTACTGTGGCACCTCACTGCCTAAAGTTTCTGCTTTTGTGGGAGAGCAGCTCATTGGCATGTGGCTATGGAAAAATTCAGTGTTAAACAAATTGGAATATGTGACTTTCTGCTGTTCCCTGCCTTTCCGTCTTACTTTGGCTTCTTTTGTTTTATCTGCAATATCAGGGAGGATGCTGGCAAATGAGGTACTGCATGTTCCTTTAAGATACTGTTGTCACTGTGCTACATAAAAATCACTGTAGGGACAGGGTTCATGTCAGCTTCTAGAAGTCTGTCCAATCCCATCACAACGCCAGGTGTTATTTTGGTAAGAATTGTTGTGTGTGTTTTTTAAAAAATACACACACAGATCATCTTACCTCTAAGAAATGCATTATGTCTTAAACAACAGGCCCTCTACCCAACTCCAACTATTTCTATAAAAATTAAATTACCCTTTAATAATATATCTTATTTTAGAATTCTGCCTTTCAAAAAGAAAAAGTATGTAGATAGAAGCTAATGAGATTGTGGTCTGTATCCTTGATTTAGAAAACTTACTTTTTATTGTAATTAAGTGAATATAGTATCTCCTGATTGTCCTCCAAAGACACCAGCCATTAAAAAAAAAATAAACGAAGATAACTCCAGATGTCAGAATGCAAATAATACCAGTATGTGCCACCATATCTGGAAAAGAGACCCATACTTTGTTTTGGATTTACACAGGAAACAACAATGATTAGGATTCTGTGTGATTTCTCATTTCACTCTCCGCTTACCTCTCTTTCCTCTTTTCAGATTCCCAATAAACATATTGCCCAGGCAGAGGTAATCATCCGGTTTGCATTCCAGACGTCCATCACAGTGCTGTGCATTGCCTGCCCCTGCTCCCTGGGCTTGGCCACACCCACGGCAGTCATGGTGGGCACCGGCGTGGCTGCCCGGAACGGCATCCTCATCAAGGGGGGCAAGCCTCTGGAGATGGCCCACAAGGTTGGCCCAGCACTGCAGTGCTCCTGACCGTCTTTCGGGGTCTTGACTAGGATGATTTTGTAGTTGTTTACTACATGATTTTTTTTAAACTTTGAGGTCTAGTGAAAATAGTGTCTGTTTAAATTTCATATTAAGAGATAAACCTGAAAGAGGCCCGAGGATAGCACTGTTCATTAAGTAAAACAACAGGAAGCGAGGACTGACAGAATGATAGCAGCAGTTAACAGTTATAGAATTAAACACTTTATAAATATTAGTTGATTTAATCTGATCAACAGCTTTGAGGTAGTGCCATTATTCCCATTTTACAGATGAGGGAGCTATAGCAGGAGGAGGCCAGGTGACTTGCCTAAAGGCCTTCAGCTAATAAATGGCAGAGCCAGGTTTCACACCTGGAGAAAAGTACCAGCTCTGCATCTGTGTGATTAGCAGAGGGGTCCTGTGACCTGGGGAGTGGAATAATGGGCAACCGTGTATAAAGAATCTTCCTTTGGCCAAACATACCAATCCTTAACCTTCCACTAATGTAGTCAATATTTGTTGAGTATGTACTATGTGTGGGTCTTATGGCTGGCCCTAGTCATGGTCTTTGGCTATCAAGGATGGGGAAAGACAAGTATGGAGTAAGTAAAGAACAAATACTATGAGATGGGGTGCAACGCTGCTCAGCTCAGCAGGGGGCCTTGCATAGACTTGTGTGTGTGGGACTGGCCATGAGGGGTGGTGTATCTGAGACCTGACAGTTGAGTGAGAGTGAGTCAGAAAACGGAGGTTGGGAAGCATGTTCTGGCAGTGGGGAAAGCACATGGAAAGGACCTGGGGGATAAGGAGCTGGGTAGGGGGTGCTGTATCGTAGACTCTATAACATCGAAGACTGTGAACTGTTCCCATCATTGTATCCCCCAGTGTCTTGCCCAGTGCCTGGCACATTGAAAACACTCAATAGTTATTTGCTGAATAATAAATGAGGAACTGAAAGAAAGTCATTGAGAGAAAGAGAAATCGATAGATCAGGCTATTGAGGGAAAAGGTGAGGGAGAGAGGGACCTTGAAGGGTCTTGGAGGTTTATGAAAGGATTTGGAAATTAGCACAAAGAACAACAGGGAGCTGTGGAGGGGTTTGAAGCGCCTATGTGATGTGACTGGATTACTTGTTGGGAAGATCTGGTTACAAAGTGAAGGATGGACTAAAAGGAGGCAAGAATTGATGGAGGAAGACCAGTTGATAGTGTTGAAGGGGCCAGCACTCAGCTGCAGAAACAAAAAGCTGAATCTATTATTTGTTAATGAAGGGAGAACCATGCTTGTGGGTCATAGTCTGAACACAGCAAGCAGACCTAATATGGGGCTTGAGGAAGCCGGAGTCCAGGGATTGGTGGACTCTGGCCATAGGAAAGCAGGTGCCAGTGTGGCTGTTATTGACTGGCTGAGCCCACCCACAGGGACTGGTGCAAAGCTGCCATTGACTAAGTGGGGCAGGTCTAAAAACTGGCTCTGATGGTTACCTGTTATTATGGCCAAGGAATACTCCCTTCCTTGAACTTGGAGTGCAAGAGCTTTAATGTTAGTAGGCTTTTGCACTTACGAAGGCCAGAGAAAAGCATGATTGACTCAGCAGATAGCAGTAGATAGCCGACTCCCAGATCCCTGGCTCCTGATCCTGCACAAGAAATCTGCCAGTGTTACTGTCCAGGAGACGGCGTGCCATCCCTCGCTACATCAGAGTGAGAGTTTCTGGCTCAACCTGGTTAAGGTTAAAACATAGTGATGATTTGGGGGGGGGGGGGGGGGGGCGGCATAGAGGGAAACAGTTTTTGCAGGGAGAGTGGTTGAACCTTGTGATTGATTGCAGATGATTATGTCATGACGGATTAAGGACTGTTGTTAAGTTCTGCCTCAAGATTGTGTGGATTTTAAAGTCCCTTCCATCTGTATTTGTGCTAACCGAGATGTGGTTGTTTTGACAGATAAAGACTGTGATGTTTGACAAAACTGGCACCATTACCCACGGGGTCCCCAAAGTCATGCGGGTCCTCTTGCTCGTGGATGTGGCCACGCTGCCCCTCAGGAAAGTTCTTGCTGTGGTGGGGACTGCGGAGGCCAGCAGTGAGCACCCCTTGGGTGTGGCTGTCACCAAATACTGTAAAGAGGTATGAAGACCTGGGCATTGCTCCTCCTCCCGCTCCTCCCTCAGCCTCCTCTCTCACCTGTGAGGCTGGAGCCTCCAAGCTCCTTCCTCCTAACAGGCTTTTCCTCTCAGCTGCCATGGCATCTCAGTCAGCTGCCTTTGAGGAGGCCTTGGCTTGTGTGATCTGGAAAACCACTTAGCAGGCCAGTGGAGATGTAGCTCACAGTAGTTGGTCCCTTGTCACATCTCCAGATCATTGCAAAAGCAGCTCAGTGTTAACAGTCATTTGTTGAGCATTTACTGAGCACCTGGGCTCGGGACAACTATGAAGTTGGGAACTCTGCCTCTCGGGGCTGCTTGCTGGTTGGGTGAGGAAGACAGATGGTATATAAATTCAGTCCTTTACTTAGTGCAAAGGGATACAGAAATGAATGGGGATGACAGGGTAGAAATCCATGAAGTCGGGAACATCTGAAATGGAGAGGAGCCAGCAGAAGTGAGCGGAAGCCCAATGGGTTCTTGGCACAGTTACTTGGGAAGCATTCATCTTTTGATCTTCTCAGACGAAGGTCCTATTTAATTTTCTCTATTTTCAATATGAATATAGAAGCAGCAGAATGTCCCAGAATACTGCCCAGAAAAAATGTAAACGGTGCGGGCAGATACAATTATCAGTAAATGTAGAGGGTTACATGGATGCCTTGAAAAAGTTGACAACTCTTCCTGGACAGGGAACCTTCTAGAAATCTCTTTTCGTGTTTCTGTCTTTCATGTAGGGCCAGGCATGCCATTTCACCTCTCACCTTTCTGATGTTTCAAAAAGAATTCTGCTCACCCTCAGCCATGCTTCCTTTGCTGTTTTGTTAACCCAAATAAAAACAGTGCCCCACTCCTTTCTCCTGCCACATCACCCTCCTCCACGGGTCTGTAAGTGGGCAGTTTTCTCTTAATAGCCTAAGAATAGCTTTGTTACCACTTGCCTATTCCATTATTTTAATGAAATTACTTGTGACATAAAAATAACATATTTCCTCTCTTTGACACCTTTACAATCCCCCATCCTTAATTTGAGATGTTTCATGTGAATAGCCTTTCTCCTAGTCTGCAACATGTCCAATATCATGAGGCATCCACCTAAGGACAGAGTTTTGGCTATTTAATTTTGTTCAGTTTAATAATTAAAATGTCTGTGTCAGGGAAAAGGAATTGCTGAGTTAATCGTTTATCTCTTTACCTTTTCCTGCAATTCTACTTCCCATCCCACCTTTCCATCTTAATTCATGGTTGGGGCTGCTCTCTCTCCTACTCTCACCCCCATCTCTGCCCTTCTCCCTCTCACCTCCCCCTCTGTTTTCTGGTTCCTCTTCCTGCTCCCTTCCTTCACAGGAACTTGGAACTGAGGCCTTGGGATACTGCATGGACTTCCAGGCCGTGCCAGGCTGTGGAATTGGCTGTAAAGTCAGCAGCGTGGAAGGCATCCTGGCCCACAGCGAGCACCTGAGCGAACGGGCCACTCACCTGAATGGGGTTGGCAGTGTCCCCATGGAAATAGGTATCCCTGGCCTTTGTCTCTGGTGCTCAGTCAGCCAAGGGTCGGGTCTGGCTGGGTCAGGTGGCAGCGTGCCAGACACAGAGAGCACCATGCTACCTGGTTCCCCTGCTGTGGAGAAAGGTGGCTCGTGGCAGGTGCACTGCACGCCTCCCTCCCCAGGAAAGCCTGAAGGTCCTCTTGTATTTGATTCCTCTGACTCTTAGTGCCAATGGCAGACAAAAGTAGTCTATTACGTAAATCTATAGAGTATTGTTCATAATTTTGAGTCTCCACTTTCTTATCCCAAGTTAGCCTGGCTTCTTGTGAGCTACAAAGTGGACAGCTGGGAATTCTGCTTTGTTCTTCCTAAACAGGAAACCTCGCGCTTAGTAGAACTCTGATGGGAAGTTTTGTGTTTACAGAGCCAGCAGCAGTAAGGGAAAGCTGATGGGAATGGTCTGGCCACGCTAAGCAGGGACACTGCTTGGAGTGAGAGCTGCTTTTGAATAATGGCCTTTCTTATTCTAAGGATAGCTTGTTAGCCGTCAGTGTAAGAGTATGAAAACTTAACACCTCAAACCAGAAAAAACAACTGTGTCTAGTGCTTTCTCTTAAGTATGTTGGTAATTGAGTCTTGATTTAGATTTCACTGTTGGAAGCCATCTGCCACCTTTTAGCAACTTAAAGCCCTAGGATGACCTTTCCATTTAGTGCCCAGGGACTGGTTCATGCAGTGACGCCTAAGTTACTGGCACACATGGAAGGTGACAGGAGAAAGACTCACTGGCCTTTTAGGAGGTATAGCTTTAAAACATTTCATAGAAGTAGACAGAGTACTTGCTGTTCACCTTGGGTCATCTACACCAAGCAGTGATGTCGCTAGTCACCACTTGCATTTGATGCTGGAGAAATAACTCCCTGAAAAAGAAGCAGCAGATTCCTCTAAAAAGCAGATAGGGACACCACATAATGTCTGATAGGTTTGTAACATTTTCACACATAGAAAATGTACCTTTTAATGTCCCATTTTAATTCATACCCACATGTTCTACACATTAATTATACTTTTCCCCCTGGTCCTTTAAGGATGGTGTTCTGAGAGGCACTTACTAAGTGATAATTTCTCGGAATGGTCAAATGGATATTTTGCCGTTAAAAGGGCTCCATAGTTTTAGTAATTTCTCATGATGAAATTACACTGGGAATAACCACAAACTCTTTTGAACAGACATCACTCCCCAGACTTTCTCTGTGCTGATTGGAAACCGAGAATGGATGAGGCGCAACGGCTTAGCCATTTCCAGCGAGGTCAGCGACGCTATGACAGACCACGAGATGAAGGGCCACACGGCCATCTTGGTGGCTATTGACGGTATCACTCTGCCTTCCTCCTGCTCTCTTAGACATAAAGCTTCTGGCGATGTCAGGCAAAAATAGATCCTGCCTCTTTAAAAAGAAACAATCTCCCTTTACTAATTTTAGTTTTCCCTTGTAAAAGATTGCGCTGACCTCTTTTTCATGGCATCCCCGGTCCCGAGGCCCTTTCCCTCGCCCTCCTCTCTGCCGCAGAGCCAGCTCTGCTCTGGCACCTGTCTCCTTATGCTTGGAGTTCTGTCTTCACCATCATTGTTTGCTGCAGTCAAAGCTAGCAGCTTGGAGTCCTCCTCCTCATCACTGCAGACAAAGCAGCTCACTTTCCAAGAGGTTTAACCCTAGCATGCCCTGAAAGAATGAGGTCCCTGCAGCTTGCCTCCGCTTCTCAAGATGGAGTGTATCTAAGGACCCATTTATATCTTGGGCTTTACATCTCAGGTAGATTAGCGTCTTACTTGTTAATGTTAGTGTCTGCTAATAGAAGTAAAACTATATGCAGATAAGAACTAATTTAGGTCCTCTTTCCTATTCACTTTTTCGTTTTCCTCCTCCCATCACGAGGCCGCCTCCTATTGTGTCCTTGTAAACCCACAATTCCCTCCACTTGACAGAGCAGAATTGGCTCAATTGGAGTCATGCCCCTTACACATCACTCACCCTCACTCTGTTGCCGCCACACCTCAGGCCTCAAAAGCCTTCCTGCCTCAGTATCTAAAAGGTTCACTCCAAAAAAAAGTTCTATTCAAGTGGCTTTTATCACAAGGGAAAAAAAATGAAGTATTGATTTTCTTGCTATTTAGACAATCATTACTTCCTAAGTAGTATTTTCTGTATTTGTTATATTTGTCATGTTTTAATAGCTAAGGTATATTCAGTTATGAGCTAGATACTCTGCAAGTGGATGTGCCATGCGGAAAATTTGGAAAATTCTGAGAGCTATAAGGAAGAAAATGGAGTTGCTTATTAGCCTACACCTCAGAGAGCCACTGTTGACATTTTGATAGTCCTTCCAGACTTTGTATGCATCTGTCCTATGTAAATTTTAAAAAAAACAGAATCAAACCATATTATCCTATCTAATAAAAGAGAAACATGGTAATTGGCGTACAACCGCTACCCTTCCCATTGGCTAATCAGGGCGATATGCAAATTAACTGCCAGCCAAGATGGCGGCCGGCAGCCAGGCAGCTTGAAACTAACAGGAGGCTTGATTGCTTCAGTGACGGAGGAAACCAACGTTCCCCGCCTGCCTTGCTGGCCTCTGAGCTTGCAGTTTAAAAAATATTGTAACAAATACAGAAGCTAAACAAAACCCCAGAAACCTGCTTTCAGCGAGCCCAGGATCTCAGAGCTGGAATTGATACAGAGTTTCGATTATAGAACCGAAACAAACCAGATACCTTCTTTCAGCAGCAGAGGCCTCAGAGCTGGAGCCTCAGAGCTAAAGCTGGCCCAGAATTTAAAAAAAAAAAAAAAGGAGCAGTTGGGAGCTTCAGTCCCAGCCTGAAAACAGCCCTCAGCCCCTCACCCACACTGGCCAGGCACCCAAGTGGGGACCCCCACCCTGAAGGGTGTGTGACCAGCTGCAAACAGCCATCATCCCCTCTCCCAGTCTGGCCAGGCACCCCAGTGGGGACCCCCACCCTGATCCAGGACACCCTTCAAGGCAAACCAGCCGGCCCCCACACGTGCACCAGGCCTCTATCCTATATAGTAAAAGGGTAATATGCCTCCCAGCACCGGGATCAGCGTGACAGGGGGCAGCGCCCAAACCCCCTGATCGGCCCTGCTCTGTGCCTGATAGGGGGGAGCTCCCCAATCCCCTGATCGCCCTGCGGCTCTGTGTGTGACAGGGTGTGGCGCCCCAACTCCCCCACCCCATGGGCCCTGCTCTGTGTGTGACGGGGTAGAGCCATAATCTCCCCATCGGCCCTGCCCTGAGTGTTACAGTGGCAGTGCCCCAACCCTCTGATCGGCCCTGCTCTGTGGGTGATAGAGGGCAGCGCCCCAACCCCCTGATCCGCCCTGCTCTGTGTGTGACAGGGGGTGGTGCCCCAACTCCCCTATTGGCCCTGCTCTTGCATGACAGGGGGGAGCTCCCCAACCCCCTGATCGACCCTACTCTGTGTGTGACAGGGGGGAGCTCCCCAACCCCCTGATCGACCCTGCTCTGTGCGTGACAGGGGGCAGCACCCCAACCCCCTGATTGGCCCTGCTCTGTGCGTGACGGGGTGGCACTGCAACCTCCCCATCGACCCTGCCTTGAATGTGACAGGGGGCAGTGCCCCCCCCCCCCCAAATCGGCCCTACCCTGAGCGTGACTGAGGGTGGTATCACAACCTCCCGATCTGCCCTGCTCTGTGCATGACAGGGGGCGGTGCCCCAACTCCCCAATCGGCCCTGCTCTGAGCCCGACCAGGGGCTGCACCTAGGGATTAGGCCTGCCCTCTGCCACCCGGGAGCAGGCCTAAGCCAGCAGGTCGTTATCTCCCAAGGGGTCCCAGACTGTGAGAGGGCACAGGCCGGGCTGAGGAACCCCCCCCCCCCCCCGAGTGCACAAATTTTTGTGCACTGGGCCTCTAGTGTTCTATAATTGGGTGTTTTGTTTCTTGTGGGTAACATGCTGTTAAGGAAACTGAAACCGGCTGTGCTCCTTGGGCCGCCCAGGGCCCTGCTTCCTGCACCCACTGTGGTGTCTCCCGCAGGGGTGCTCTGTGGAATGATCGCCATTGCAGACGCCGTCAAGCAGGAGGCCGCCCTGGCTGTGCACACGCTGAAGAGCATGGGCGTGGACGTGGCGCTGATCACGGGGGACAACCGCAAGACAGCCAGAGCCATCGCCACCCAGGTCTGGGCCGGGGCCCTCTTCCCCTTCTCAAACTAAAGTGATGTTAAGCTCACAGAAGCAGTTTGAGGGGAAAAACTAAGCACCAGTGCATCCAGCACTCAGCTTTGCTTCAGCTTCCCCCTGGATGGGTTCTTTTCAGCAATGTAGCACCCCCACCCCCACCCCCACCCCTGACCACCATGCTGTAGCAGCAAAGGTCACGCCCTGCAGCCTGGGAGCTGTGATTCATGCAGGACTGGCTGCAGCCCTGGAAAAGCAACTCCATCATTCTCCATTCCAGTCTTCACAGTGAACAAAAAAAACCACCATGGCTTGAGGGCTTACATAAACAACTTTGTAGTCTTTATGTTGAAGGAATGTTTTGCTAGCTCAGCTCTTCCTACTGGTTGCACCAGATAAGTGACTGATCCCAGGCAGTTCCCCCACAGCCCTGGTTCTGAGTTTGGGCTGTGCAGACAGAGCTGCTGCATGCTTGCCTGGCCCATCTCACGGGGATGGCTCCAGTACAAATTCCTGAAGAGCACATATACCCCTCCTCCTAAAAATGTGTGTACAGTGGTATGCTTTTGAAAATGAATTGCATCTTATGAGGGAAGCAACAGTACCTCTCTTTACTGGGCATTTTGCTAATGATGGACTTGTTGAGTTACTCCCTTTCCTGGTTAAAACTTGTTCATTCATTCAGCAAGCATTTATTAAACACTGCCCAGGCTACAGAGAGGAGTGAAGAGGGTACCTGCCCTTAAGGAGCTCCCAGTCCTGTGGGAGGGTGGACCAGTGACCAACTATAAAATGAGTCCTTGGTGTTTCAACAGAAGAGTGCATGGGGCATGTGGGTGCTGCCAACTTCCCTCCAGCCTGGCAGGGGCTGAGGATGCCTTCTCAGGGGAGAGGAAGCTTGAGTCAGGAGTGGTCTGGTGAAGAAGAGTGGGCAGGAGGAGGGAAAGCAAGCTGACCTTCCAGGGCAGAACAGGCAGCAGGAGCACCATCCAGGGGTACAAAGTAGTGGGGAGTTGGAGAGCACATGGAGCTGAATGGTGCAGGGAGCTGGAGATGAGCAGAGATCTAGGGGACGAAGGGGACCTCAGGAGGCAGACCGAGGAATTTAGATGTTGTCCTAAGGGAACTGGGGTCCACTGGAGGAGATTAAGCAGGAAAGGAAAATGACCAAATAATTTGTTTTGGAAAGACACTGGGACAGCATATGGAGAAGAGAGTGGGAGGCCGGGACATGGGCTGGGAGACCAGTGAGGGCCCCAAACCACTGCCTGTCCTTGTGATGGGATCAGGGAGTAAATTTGCCATGTGATCTAGAACCTGTGGGGCTTGGTGACTGACATCATTGACAACCTGGAGGCCGGGTGGGGGCTGGGCAGGAAGATTTGGGTTTCTGCTACTATTCCTATCCTTTGCCAACACCAGGCATTGTCATATATTTATTTTTTTTAATGGCTATTTTCCTTTCCTTTAGGTTGGCATCAACAAAGTCTTTGCAGAGGTGCTGCCTTCTCACAAGGTGGCCAAGGTCCAGGAGCTCCAGAAGGAAGGGAAGAAAGTCGCCATGGTGGGAGACGGCATTAATGACTCCCCAGCCTTGGCACAGGCCGATGTCGGCATCGCCATCGGGACAGGCACAGATGTCGCCATTGAGGCGGCTGACGTTGTTCTCATCAGAGTGAGCGTGCTGTGCCTCCTCCCCGTTGTCCAGGCAGTGGGAGGGGTAAGGGCTGTGGGCACAGCTCCTGGCTCACCAAATGCTCCTCTACCTCAGAATGACTTGCTCGATGTAGTCGCTGCCATTCATCTCTCCAAGAGGACTGTCTGGAGGATACGGCTCAACCTGGTGCTGGCGTTGATCTATAACCTGGTTGGCATTCCCATCGCAGCAGGTAACGGGGCTCTCCCTGCTTGTGACCTTTGCCTCTAGCTCTCTGTGTGCCCGGTTCCTGCCGAACTTAGTGCGCAGCCCACCTCGCTGGCTAGCTGGCCAGGAGCATTTTAGAAAGTGTTGATTTTATCATGTGCTCTGCTTGCTAACTCTCTAAAAGTAAATGAGAAACTTCAGAGAGAACCCCAACCTTCATTCACTCTGGTTCTCTCTGAAAAGCTGCCAAGATGCTTGACTATTTATTTACTATGGCCCTGTTTTCTGAACCATTTATTACACATACGGTCTGAAAACCTAGCATTATTAACAGTTATGGGGCCCCTGCTACATGCTAGGCACCGTGATTGATATTTTAGAACCTTAATTTAAAAATGCATCCTGCCCGAGATGTACCCTGTCTCCCAGGAAGAGATGGATTTTTCTGCCTCATAACTCCTCTCTTCCCCGTTCAGTACTGAGTTACCCAGTAGGAAAAAGCTCTTCTGCAAGGAAAGGCTTCTACGTGGGCTGAGACCTAAAGTTTGTAAACACAACTTTCCCACTTCATGTCCCCTGTTGTGCCTGAGTGGTTAAAGGTGACTCACATGATGATTAGCATGTCTGCCTGAACGTACTGGGTGGGGTGGGCCAGGCAGCTGTACCTGCTGCTTCCAGAGCCAGCCCAGGTGCTGATTCACTCCTGTGTTTGTGCCTCTGCCACAGACCGTTGCCCAGATGTGGACTGAGTCTCCTGGCCCTGTCCTGGGTCCTAGCTCACATTGCCCTTTAAAAAGATGTTTTGAGCCCCGAGGGAAGACAACCCATGCAGACAGATCTGTGGTCACTAGCAGTGTGTCCTCTGAGTGCTCACACAGTCCCCGCGGTGCCTCAGGACAGCTGGCTCCCCCATCCTGCTGCTACCCCTCTGGTTCCTCAGATTCACTGTTCTCCTGGAGTTTCCCCTGAAATGGTGTTGGCACCTATGGACAGGCCCAGGAAGGGCAGGGTGGATGGGAGACCCCAGTCCCTTCAACAGCGCCTCCCACTGCCCAGCTCTGAGATAGCCTGCTTTAGAGGCCTGCAGGCATGTGCTCACTGTGGCAGGGGGCTTCCAAGTTATGCTGAGCACTTCCTGGTGGGCCCTCTCCTTGCTCTCTCTGGGCTGCACAGTGAGTGTTCTCTCCCCCCCGCCAACCCACACAGGTGTCTTCATGCCCTTTGGCATCGTGCTGCAGCCGTGGATGGGCTCGGCAGCCATGGCAGCCTCCTCTGTGTCTGTAGTTCTCTCGTCGCTGCAGCTCAAGTGGTGAGTCCCCACAGGGCATGAGCATGTGCTGTAGGCAAGGCAATACTTGCTAGGCCCCTTTGCACTGCATGCGCAACGCAGTTTCGGCTGGCTGGTGCGCCTCCTGGGCCAGCAGTGGGTGTGTGCTAAGCTCAGATTCCTGATTCATTCACCTAAGGCAAAGACCTAAGGGACAGCTGAGTGTATAATGATTTATTAGCACCATGATCAAGTAATCTATCACTTAACAGTCATCACGTGCTGGGCTATTCTAGTTATTTTGCTCAAGGGCTGCTTATGTAAGTACAGTCATATGCTGCTTAACCCGAGGGATTCAGTCTGGGAAGTGTCGTTAGGCAATTTCGTCCTTTTGGGAAGGAACATCATAGAGTGCATTTGCACAAACCTAGGTTAGGTATAGCCTACTACACACCTAGGCTGTATGGTATTACCTATTGCTCCTAGGTACAGCATGTTACAGTACAAAACAACATGAGAATAATTCAAGCACAAGAGAAAATGATGTAGTCAAGAGATGCAGTAGACAGGAGATGTATGAGGTTGCTGCCAGTGTAGTAGCAAACTGGTTTTTAATAAGTAGAAAGAATACATCCTAAAATAATAAAAAATATAGTAGAGTAAGTATACAAACCATTAACATAATCATACATTATCATCATTATGTTCTGTACATAACTGTATGTGCTGTACTTTTATCTGGCTGGTAGCGTAGTGGGTTTGTTAACGCCAGCATCACCACAAACACATGAGTAATGAGTGCCACAGTGGCTCTGACATCTCTAGGGATAGGAAGTTTTCGGCTCCGTTATAACCTTATGGGACCTCTGTCACATATGCAGTCCATTGTTGACTGAAACATCATTATGTAGCCCATGGCTGTATGTAGATACAGGATCCCTGTGTATTAATATTTTTCCTTTTTTAAAATAGATGTTCATTTACTTATGCTTTCATTTAACAAGAAGTTAATGCCAAGCATTTGGATACAAAGTTTCTAAATTGGGAGTTTACCCGAACCCTAGGAGTTTAATACTAAGTGTTATTGAACTACTTGGATGAGAGGCTTTCAAAAGCCTGTGTCCAGAATGGTTCAAATGCTCTTGGAATCTTACTTTGCAGCTATAAGAAGCCTGACCTGGAGAGGTACGAGGCCCAGGCTCAGGGCCGCATGAAGCCCCTCACTGCATCCCAAGTCAGCGTGCACATTGGCATGGATGACCGGCGCCGGGACTCCCCCAGGGCCACGCCCTGGGACCAGGTCAGCTACATCAGCCAGGTGTCTCTGTCCTCCCTGAAGTCTGACAAGCTGTCTCGGCACAGCACCTCAGCTGATGACAGTGGGGACAAGTGGTCTCTGCTCCTGAATGACAGGGACGAGGAGCAGTTCATCTGAAAGCTCCAGGCTGGTGCAGACCCCATGGTCCATCTCCTAGCTGATCAGCAGCTCTAGCCCCAGGTGCAGCATCGCAGCCACTTCCACGCCCTGGACATTCAGATCATTCCTCCCTGCAGCAGATGGCATTGTCCAGATGTGGCTCCTGGGCAGAAACACCCTGCCTGGATCCCACAGCTCAGGGTGAAGCCTTATCCAGGCTATTGGTGTGGGCTTCTAGAATAGGGTGGACAGCCACCCCTCTTACAGACCTCGGCTTTATTTAGTATCTGGGATGACTGTCTGTGAAATGAAGAAAATCTTACCAGGACCAAAAACTTAGCTGAGCCTTTCCATAGAACTCATGAAAAACCTCGGTGTTGTCCTCTTTTTTACAATGCCTGCGAGCATCATCTCTCTAAGATCACAGTTTACCTCAAGTGCATTCTTTAGTTTCTGCTGGTACAGCCTCTTCTTTTTCTTTCCTTGACACTGGGGGTGGCACCCTCGTCTTTCAGGGCAGGACTGGCATCCTCCTGGTCCCTGCTGCTGCTCTCAGGCGCTTCTCAAGTGCATGTGCCCATGTGCGCTGCCGCCTGAGTCTGCTCACTCACATGCCCAGCCAGAGAGCTTGCCAGTTCGTTCTTGCTTACGAGCCACTTCTCTGTGGAGTCTTGACCATTGTTGCCCAGATGGAGTGAGGGTCTCAGAGCCTGAGACTTGAGAAGTCCAGCTTCCTGTGGGGTCCAGGCGCTTGGGCCCAGAAAGACTTGTGGTGCTTGAAGACCTGTTGGGGGAGACTCGTGCAGGCAGGAACCTACCTCATGGCTCCTGGAGCTTCAGTTACATGTCTGCTGTGTGACTGTTACTTCATGGTGAAAAATGTAGAATTCATGGTGGTTTGTGCAACTCTGAGGAAACAAAGATTCCCAAACTAGAGGGCATCACAGCTCTTCTCCATGAGCTTCTACTGCATGCTGAGTTGGTGGTGCTTTAGGAAAGGGGTGGCCACAACTTCCCAAAGGAAAAGTCCTTTGTAACTTTTGGTAGCTCTTTGTGATTGCATGACCCTGGAGGGGCAGGACTGCGGCTAGTTTTCGACTTTGGAGTTACTGTTGACTGACAGATCACATGGGAATAGACTAGTAGAATCATAATCTTAGAATAGGCAGAGCAAAGCCCATTCTAAATTCTAAAGTGAATCCCTTGTCACACACACAAAATAATTTTATTTATTGAGGGTCAGTTATTTTCCAAGGCAGTGTAAGCACTTTTTATAAGTTAATCTCTAATCCTCCCAACAAACCACCAAAGTAGGTATTATTGTCCACCTTTCACAGGCAGGGGAATAGGCTCAGAGAGGTTAAGTACCTGCTCAGGGTCACACAGCCAGTACACTTGCTGGAACAGGGGTCTGAATGCATGTCTGCTGGCTCTGAAATCTTTTCTTTCTGCTTCACCTTGAATATTTTGCTTGATAAGAATAAACAAGAAAAGGTCCTTGTTCCTGGAAGAACAAATTTGCCAGATGATGTATTGATTGTATCGTCTTGTAATGAAATTTGATCATAAGATCATCTCACCCTCCCATGGATGGTTCATTTTTATTTTTACATATAATTTAGCTTTTGCTGGGTTTTATCCTCTGAAATCCAAGTGCAGGGTTTTGTGGTGTTTTTATTATTTTCAATCTTCCTTTTCTTCTTAGCCCCTTCCTGCCATGTGTCCCCAATTATCTGTGTTTGGAGGGTGTTTCTTATTTCCTAATTAGGCTAATCATTTTCTAAAAACTCTAATTGTATTGATTCCCCAAAAAGCTTTTAGGATCATAAACATCATGTTTATATAGACACAAAAATCTATAATAATAAGAGGGTAATATGCTAATTAGACTGGGTGTCTTCTGGACATCCTTCCTGACGAAGACAGGGCCAAAGGGAAGCAAGCCCGAGCCCCAGGTGCCTGCTGGCAGCCGGAGGAGGAAAGCCCAGGTCCTGGGTGCCAGAGGGAAGCCAGTGGAGGGAAGCCAGTGCTGGCAACTGGGGGAAGGAAGGCCTACTCTTGCATGAATTTTCATGCATCGGGCCTCTAGTATTTATATAATTGTACAGAAATAACCTTTTAGATGTTCAAAGTGTCAGAATATTTTTGTCAGATAAGAACAATTTCTACTTAAAAACTTTCCATGCTATATTAGAATAAAGTTTCTCTTTGTTCATAAAAACATCTGCTTTTTGCTGGCCCTGTCTGAGTGAGGAGCATGGTGGGGCCAGTGCAGCCCTGTATTCAGTGAGAACTTTGAGGGGCTGGCTCTGCTGTGGGTTCCTTTTCAGGGGGTGGGGTTTTAACTGGAGGCCTCCAGGGTGGCCCGCAATGTGTGAGCCCCTCCTGTTGCCTGCCTCAGTGGTGCGTGGAGAGAACTCTGAAGGGTGACCCATGTCAGGGTGTCTGTCACACTGGCCGACAGCCCAGACTACCCTTTAGATGCACTTTTCTCGTTGAGGGTCATTGTCTACAAAAGACTGTGGGATTGATCCCACCTTAGGCAGAAATTAGATTTCCTTAGAAAATAGATTCTTTCTAAAACTTGAGCAGATTTCCTTGACAGGATTACACGTGTAGCAGAATAAATCATAGCATCTGTCAATTCCTAATATGTTTTTGGTCTTTAAGACCTTAGTGAGGAATTATGCTGAGATCACCTTTTAAATAAGTGGGTGTAATAATTCTAGTATTTTTTCAAATGACAACTGGAAATTGACATGTCAAAAAAAAATAGATCCCCCAATTTTTCTGCTAGTTTACTAAGGACTAATAAATAAATAAATAAATGACCTTTATTTTAAGAAAATCCAGCATAGCAAAATCAGCCAATCATAGAGGTTAATTAGAAAAAGGTTATTTGAATTACAGAAGGACTTTTTTTTTGCTTTAAAAAATTCATGCCAATATTTCAGTAAATTCCATAATGCATATAAAATTCTCCTTGAGGTATTTTTTGTGTACAACCTTTCTTAACTGCATCAATTGTTTAAAAAAAGAGCTAAGGAATGCATATACAAAAGAAATGCTTTCAGCAAACATTAGTGTCGACTTTGTTTCCCTTCCTGATTACCTTGGCTGGTGGGAAAGCTGATTGCGTATTGGAAGGTATTGTGGAATTGGTAGAAATGAAATCACTACTTTCCTCAACTTTCAGACTCAACTTGGGCAGGGAGATAAACGCCATTGTTTGGGTTCATTCTGAAGGGAGATTGATGTCTACTTGTCTGCTGCTTACCTTCGTGTGAAGACAGTGACAACAGTTGAAACTAAGGAATATGAGAATGTTAATATTGCTACAAAATCCCAGAGTCTCCTTCATTCTGTTAAAAAAGATGGATATAGATTTAAAAGCATCCAGGGGCTAAGATGAAAATGAGAATAGATGGAAGTTGAACATTTTTTCCTCTGAAAAGGAAATAGTTATTATTTTTTCTTAATATAAAAATAACTGCTTATAGCAAAAATATATAAGAAATATATAAAGGGGAGAAAGGCTGTTATAATATCCCCACACCCTGCCCCCACAAGAAAACCCATGAAGATGATTTCGTGGAGGGATACCCTTTGAGGGTGGATTGCATTGGGACACTGGGAGCAAAGCCTACCTGCCCACAGGGGACCAAGCTCCCTGACCTATTTGAGAGGTGCTGTAGTGGGTTCCACACTTGCTGAGCTGGTCCCCACAATGGCATGAAGAGCTGTGTGCCTCACTGTCCTATTTCCACAGCTGGGAGAACCAAGCCGAGGGTTGTGGTGAGGATACAAGGAGGCCATGGGGGGAGGGGCCGGAAGCACATCCTGCTGCTGCTGGTATTGGGAGTGATGGTGGTTGTATTCCAGGTCGGGGGTGAGGGGCGTGGGGGAGGTGGAAACAGTCTTTGTGGTCTTTGCGCATTCCTTGGCTGGGCCGGAGGAAGTGCCTGCTTATGGGTCAGCTTCTAAGACTTCACAGACTGTGCAGGTGGCTTTGAAAGGAGCAGCCTTTGCCCACTTGCTATGCACCAGGCTGGACTCCAGTTCTCTTGTTTCCTGGGCAGGGATCCCAGAGCTCCACTACAGCCTGCCCTGGGTTCCCCAAAGGACGCCCAGCCAGGGCCGTGCAGTGTGGAGAGGTTAAAAATTCCCAGCCTTAGAGATGGGCAGACTTGGCTGTACCCCCTGAGGAGTGTCACTGCCTTTCTGAGCTTCTGAATCTGGGCTGGAGCGAGCTCCCCCTTCACTGGTTTGTGAAGGCCAAATGGAATTAGGGGCATGAATGCCTAGCCTAGTGCCCGTGCACTGGCGTCTCCGCCCTAGCTGGTTTGGCTCAGTGACTAGAGCATCGGCCTGCAGACCAAAGGGTCCTGGGTTTGATTTTGGTCAAGGGCACGTACCTCATTTTCAGGCTCCTCGGCAGCCCCGTCCCTGGTCGGGGTGTATGCAGGAGGCAACCAATTGATGTGTTTCTCTCACATCAATGTTCCTTTCTGTCTTTCCCTCTCTCTTCACTCTCTCTAAGTGATAAATGGAAAAATAATCCTCAGATGAGGATAATAAATAAATAAATGAATGGGAGTATCATTAGAATGACACTGGTGTGACGTTCCTCCCGTGAGGTGAATCCGGGCAGTTCCGGGATTGTTGCAATGGGATGCTTTCTCCTAGGAAATAAGGACTGTTTGAATGATGCTGGTGCAGAGTGGGAGTTAGGAAAATGAGTGTAAAGGGTGCTAGTGAACAAGAGCTGTGAATAAAGCAATTTCTTTTTAATGTGTCACTTCAGTCTGGTTTAGAAGGTGGGCTCTTGTGTCATTCATCCTATCTGCGTTATATTTAGGCATCTGATTATTTTCACCAATCATATTTGAAGTCTTTCCCTTCTCTTCAGGGTAGAAGTATATCATCTCAGATATGGTTTCCTAAAGAATGTAGTTACGCCCTGGCTGGTTTGGCTCAGTGGATAGAGCATCAGCCTGCAGACTAAGGAGTCCTGGGCTTGATTCCGGTCAGAGGCACATGCCTGGGCTGCGGGCTCGATCCCCAGTGGAGGGCATTTAGGAGGCAGTCAATCAATGATTCTCTCTTATCATTGATGTTTCTATTTCTTTCTCCCTCTCTCTTCCTCTCCTAAATCAATAAAAATATATTTAAAAAAAATGATTGCCCTAACCGGTTTGGCTCAGTGGATAGAGCGTCAGCCTGCGGACTGAAGGGTCTCAGGTTCGATTCCAGTCAGGGGCACATCCCCAGTAGGGGGTGTGCAGGAGGCAGCTGATCGATGTTTCTCTCTCATGGATGTTTCTGACTCTCTGTCCCTCTCCCTTCCTCTCTGTAAAAAATCAATAAAATATATTTTTTAAAAAAGAAAAGAAAATGATTATTTCAACTCATGGGTTGAAAAACTATAACTTAAAAAAAAAAAAGAATGTAGTTACATTTGATTAAAATAGAACCATCTTGCTCTGCTATTTCTGATGACTCAGCTTTGGGTGCTCAACATAAACCTGTACAGAGGTATGGCCCTGACCTCATGGGGATTTAGTCACCGATTAGCCTGACCTTAATAGTACACTGCAGGGAGCAGGGCAGTGAGTATCTGTTTGCTTGTTTTTGAGGAATATATGTGTTTTATAAATTTCTCCTTCCTGTTTAATGATCAGAGTTAAGACTAAAATCCACATGGCTCTAAAATCCAGCTAAATTTTGAAATTACTTCTGGAAATCTAAAAGAAGCTTACACTGTCAGTTTCTTACTTGAGATTCACTTATATTTGGATCTAGTGTTGTTTCCTGTAATGGATGAAACACACTGGACACCTCAGGATGGGGGCTTTATTTTACATCTAAAGCTTCACCCATTTATAGGTAATGTGTTTTTTTAATTTTATCTTTAGGTAATGTTTTAATGTACACACACTTTCACTGCTAATTATTGCTCCCTTATTCACTAGACATTCAATACAAGTGACTCCATCCCTCTTCCTCAACTCACTGCGCCCCCATCTTTACTCCTCCCTGCTCTCCACCACAAGCATTCAATGCACACACACACACACACACACACACACACACACCCCTAAACTACCAAGAACAGAGGAGGGATCTTGGCGGCCTGGGTCTTCTCAGAGATTTGCTCATAGGAGAGGGCATTCGGTCCAGGAGGTATATATGAAGGAGAGAGTGGACCAGTTGCTGGGGAAAAGGGGATGGGTTGAACAGGTGGAGTGGGGCTGCACGTTTGGAGAGCCTTAACTCAGGCAGGACAGAGGGAAGCAGGGACAGCTGGGGGGTGGTTCTCTTTCTCCTCCCCCTCCCCACCCCTTTCCCTGACAGTGGCTCCAAGAGGGTGGTGGTGGGGGGGGGGTGGTTCTGAGAAGAATAAGTGGTGCCAACCTGGCCCCAACCCCACTCTAGGATTGTGAAGATCCCTCAAAGGCTCAGCCCGCCCTCACTTGGAACTGAGGGAAAGAGAAAGAGAAGCATTGTTAAAAGAAACTAAAAGGTGGGGAGGAGAGTCCAAACTGCATCTTCAGACAGTTGTGTGTGGCAGTTGTGGGCAAGAGTGACTGAGGGCAGGGAAGACAACAAACGGATTCATCTGGGCTCCCAGGCTGAGGAAGGTGTGGTTTCCAAACCAGCAGAATAGGAAGCTCCTGATGTTTATTCATTAACTCAGAGATCATTCGCAGAACCCTAGAGGATGCTTCTTTTGGAAGCATGCAAAACAGCAGATACCCAGTTGGAAATACAACCCAAATGGATGCATATAGGCTAGATTCCGCCTTTGGGAGGAAATCCACCTGAACATGACAACTCGAGCCTCCTGCTTGGGAGGCAGGGCTCTCATCTCTGCCTGTGGAGGGACTGAGGGCCTCATTGGGTTTGGAGTTTTTTCCCTCTCCTTCCCACACTCATTGATAATAACAACCGCTAACTGAGCCTTTACTATGTGCCAGGCACCATGATGTTTATGTATAAAGCCTTTATATGCCTATTATCCTTAATTCCCACACAACCGCACGTGGAAAATACTGCTGTCGTTGCCATTTCACATGTACAAAGGCAGCTCACTGTGAGCCATGAAGCTTCCACTTTAAGGCTCTCCTCATGGACAGGCCCTTGCCAGACCCTGGACAAGGCCCAGGATCACATTCTCATGAGCATATGTTTTGTTAGTTTTGCAAAATTAGTTATTCTACTTGCCATTGGTTAGGGCTGGTTTTCCTTTCCGTGTGACACCCCCTGCAGCACACATTCCTTGTACCAAGTGACTTTGGATGATCACAGTGCATTTCTGGGTAAGGAAACACTGAGTTGGGCAGAGATTGAGTTTAGATGGAGTGAAATGCGTTTATGTGATTTGCAGTCACTTCCAAGTATGGTTCAAGTTGCATAGGAATGGCTTCCAGGACTACTTTACTGCCAGTGTTCTGACTTGCCCAGTGTCATGGTGATATCAGCTTGTCTTTGAGTGTGTGTGGAGGTACATGGACAGTGGACGAGACGCAGATCTGAACATATGGAGCTTGAAGGTTCTCTGTGAAGAATTTTCCCAGCTATCAGACATGCAACATTGTTAGCAGAGGAGTTGATTCTCATTGACAGAGATCTCTCCTGTTAGGAATATACATGATCGTATACATGATCAAGCACATCACACATTGTTTTCTTTCTTGATGGCAATTGTATGAAATATAATTCATTGTAGTTGCTGTGTTTTTAGGGCATGAATCAATAGTACTACATATGGTGAGTATAACTGTGTGAAGTTACATCTTCATGCAGTCCAACTGTCAATAATGAAAACATTTCCATCAAGCAAGCATGGTAAAGAAAGGATTGAATTATCTTTTACAAAATTGTCAGATGAAGAAGCAATCAGAGACCCCCCCCCCACACACACACATCTATATATATAAACGCCTAAGCGACTGAACAACTGAACGACCGGTTTACTGGTGGCTATGATGCACACGGACCACCAGGGGGCAGATGCTCAACATAGGAGCTGCCTACTGGTGGTCAGTGTGCTCCCACAGCCAACCTCCCGTGGCCTGATCGGACCCCACCTGTGCAAGAATTCGTGCATCGGGCCTCTAGTATAGGATAAAAGAATTAAATAAGTGTATTAGTTAATAAAAACATTAAGTTATTTTTCTGGATTGTTGGTATTAATGGTATTTGTTGTGAAATTTTTTGCGTTTGAAACTGTCACTTTCATACCTAATTTTGTATTTCATATATATTTTATTGATTTTTTACAGAGAGGAAGGGAGAGGGATAGAGAGTTAGAAACATCGATGAGAGAGAAGCATCGATCAGCTGCCTCCTGCACACCCACTACTGGGGATGTGCCTGCAACCAAGGTGCATGCCCTTGACCGGAATTGAAACTGGGACTCTTCATCCCCAGGCCGACGCTCTATCCAGTGAGCCAAACTGGCTAGGGCCCTAATTTTGTATTTTTAATTTTATAGTCTTTTTTCTTAAAGAGGATGCACCTGACTATATAAGCTTCAGGCTCCATAAAACCTAGATCTATCCCTGAAAGAGTAGTTAAGTCACAACTAAAGTCACAGCCACTAAGTGGCCCAACCAGCATTCGAATCCAGAGTCTGAGTGCTCGCCTCACATTGCATCTCAGACTCCAACATGCACCCGTTCACCTGGAGCCCTTGTTAAAGTGCAAATTTTGATTCAATGGATGTAGGTTGAGGCCCAGATGGCATAACTCTGCTATTCTGTGGGCCGTGCCTTGAGGGGCCAGGGTCTCTGAGCTAATGTGCAACTGCTCATAATGGCTAGCTCTCATGCAGTATGATTAGGTCACTATAATTACTTCCTATGAATAGGGTAGATCTCACCTGGTTTCCTCACTCACAATTCCCTTCCCCTCACTCCAGCCCGAGACATGTTTGGCCTAAAGAAGTGTTTTGAACACCATGTTTCACTACCAACTTCTCTCTGACACTTACAGAATTCTTCCCACGGGCCAAGTATTTTCTGTATAAGGGGGCATGTTTCCATCTTGTGGACAAGAACATTGCTGTTCAGGAAGGTCATGTGACTTGCCAGAGGTGACAGTGTCAGTGGTTGAAACATCTCCAGCTCTGCCTACCTGGTGACAGGTAGGCAAAGTGGGGACTCAGCCCTATGTCTCCAAGAAGAGCATTGCCTTCAGCCCCTACCCTCCATGGAGCTGCCCACAACTCTCCTCCCTCTGGGTCCTCTCCGCCTTAGGATTGGCCCTAGATGCAGCCTTAAGAGATGCAAGGTGAGTAGACGAACACTGGAGTTTCCACTGTGACAAATAGGAAGTGGCTGACCTCTACTTGTCTAGCTTTCTCCACCTTTGGGAGAGTTCCTTAGCCTCACTGAGGTCAGTTCCCTTGTCCATAAGTGGGCTTAATGTGACCCAACTCATGGGGTTTTAAGGAGAATAAATGAGGTATTATGAAAAGTTACATGATACTACTCGTGTGTTGGCCCATAGTCACCAGGTTGTCCCTGGGCTAAGCTGGCCTTGGCCATTAAGTGGATACTTCTTACAGTCTGTATCCTGGGCTTTCTTCTCCCTGCTGTGTGTTAAGAAGAGACTGCATTGCAAGGGCGTCTGGAAACATCTCCAACACTACAGAGTGCTGAGCAGAGGCTGAAGGCTGGACAGCAGTGCGTTGTTCCCTGGCAGATGTCGGCATTGCCTGTCTGACTCTGCCGGTATGTTTGCAGCTGTGCTGCAGGCTGACAGCCTCTGGCATTCTCTTCCCAAACACACCTCAAATCCTTGGCCAGCTGCTTAGTCACCACAGGCCCACCTGATGACAACATACGCTGGTGATTTTATTTGTCTTTATTTATTTTTGATTAAGGTATTACATATGTGTCCTTATGTCCCCATTGCCACCCCCATCCCCCGTTCATGCCCTCACCCCCCTGTTGTCTGCATCCATCGCTTATGCTCATATGCATGCATGCAAGTCCTTTGGTTGATCTCTCCCCTTACCCCCACCCTCCCCTACCTTCCCTCTGAGGTTTGAGCATCTGATCAA